CCTATGGCTATGACACGAAATTTCACCCCCAAATGTTTATGATTGCATTGTAAAGATCACTTAAAATGACTTAATAATTTCTGTTATAGAATTTTGGTAACTTGCTTCCTTTGCGAGATTTTGAAAACGCAATATTTTACCTTGATAAAATATTTTTACAAACAAATACAGAAGGTTAATTACCAGTTATGAAATTACTACATACACAAGGGCAATTTTTAAGTTTTTTCGATACGTATTCGTGAAGAAAACTATACTTTTCTGAAAACTCATTATGTGATGTCACACCGGTGATATTTGCATATGAAACAAAGTTCAATATCTTGAAAAGGAAGCAAGTTATCAAAATTCTATAAAAGAAATTATTAAGTCATTTTAAGTGATCTTTACAATGCAACGATAAACATTTGGGGTGAAATTTCGTGTCATAGGCACTTTAAAAACTATTTTAATATAATAACGTCCTCCGTCACAACAATTTTTACAACGTACAATTTACAAAATGTTTACAAAAAGTCAAAATATGAGGCATGCGCGGCCCATAGTTTTGGAAAACCTTTTATAAACGTTATTTTTGGTTGTTAATTCTCGTGTTTTGCCATACAGGCATCAGCTCTTTTCGATATAGTATATTTACCATGGCGACTATGGATTGGTCTATGGATTACCATTATTTTACTGCTGATCTTAGCACTGGAGAAAACGTACTGGATTTCGTATTGTACTAGATTTACAGAAGAGATTTTACATGCACTTATCGCGGTGTTATTTATAATGGAGGCTTTTAAAGATATTTATAAGGTTGGTTGTTTCCTCTTAATGCTTACAGCAATTTTACGTGATACATGAGTCACATCACCACCTCACGCAAAAAAGGTTGATCGCAATAGTTGTTTTTGACATTTAATTAAGCGCGGTCACTACGTCAATATCAGAAACTTCAACAACTGAACAAAGCCCGCCAATGCGATGACGTGCCGAGTTCAGTTGTTGACATTCGTCATATTAATATAAATTGGTAACCGCGTTTAAACGTCAAAAACAGGTACTGCTATCAACCTTTTTCCGTTGGGTGGTCGCTTGCATGTAAGCCCAACACTTAACTCCACTTTTTAATCTTTATTTAGTTCCGTTTAATTAGCCTTTCTCACGCCGCCATTTTTGGGTGGCTTTTCAGCCGAAGTCTGCGAGATAAGGGACCGGTCATTATTTATGGTGGGGGGTGGCACCGAAGAGAAAATGGTTGGGTAAACAAAATTTTGAGTAAGTAAATGGTTGGGTAAATGAAAAACAAAACAACTCAAGGGTTGGGTAATAAAAAGATTATTGTTATTTCCAAGCATGGCTCACCGAAATATTGGAGACTAAAAAGCAATGTCAACAGTCATATGTCAATACAATATGTGAATCAATCAGAGTCACTATCTTGATCATTTTCCGATTTGTTGGGAGACAAATGGTGTCTCCAAAGAAAGTACATGTGCAGACAACATGAAACTTTAGACTGGAGAAAATTTCACAATCCGTTATCAAACTCATGTCACAGAAGTGGTAAGGGACTTGTGTGACAACTAAATGGTATCTTTTTGTAATGTTTTTGACCAGGGGTGGGTATTTCTTTTTTAATTGATATTTGAGGTTGGGTAATCAAATATTTTACTTTTTAATGGTTGGGTCAGCAAAATTTTTGCCACGAAAAACATTTCGGCCAACTCCCCAAGCACCATAAATAATGACCGGTCCCTAAGTCCACATAACTGCGACTTTTTATAATTTTTTGGACGAATGATGGTAAATTTGCTTTGTAAATGGTTAGTTTATTTTGAAAAATTGCTTTTCACATTGTTTTAATTGTCTGCATTGGTTAACGAGAATTAGATGCCACCCACAAATGGCGGATATTCGTCATCGTGAGAAAGGCTAATTGGATACGCTGACGCTGTGAATACTCATGTAAGAGTTAAGAATCATTTACGAAATTAATGCATGTCTGATATTTGATTGTCATTCATATATTTGCAGGTATTTAAAGAAAATCCCATACGTAACAGCTATATTGTGGAGAATCAAACTGGAACAAATAATACAACCACAAATATCGGACGTCCGAATACTGCACTCTTACATACTGTTATATCGTTTTCTACATTTGGAATTGCAGTTGGACTTCGATTATTTCAAGACACAAGATATTTTTCCCCTCCAGTATGTATTTAGGCCTGTACTATACGTCGAATTTCGGTTGCGTCGAATGCAATTCAAACAATAGATAATGAAGCTTAATGAGGTTTATCATCTCATTATCTATTGTCTTAATTGCATTCGAAGCGACCGAAATTCGACGTATAAAACAGGCCTTAAATATTTCTTTTATGCCATTAAGATTAAAATTGGTTTTCATTTTATATAGTAGTAATACCAATGCATGCTGTAATGTGCTGAGTGAATGAAAGAACTCAGAGACTGCCGTAAAACGTGGCGTCATTATTTCTCTCCAGCGTATAAACGTATGCCAAAACCAAAGTGTAGTAAGCGAAAACATGTCTGTATTTTTACTGTACACATTTTTTACACATCTGCATGATTAATTCTAAGACATTGGCTAACAACCAACGGTGACCAAATACGACAGGGCCAACAGGAGAGAAAATTGATTGAGCATGCGCGAAAACTGCTCTGGTTTTCAGATGCGTGCTTCCACTTGATTTAAAAAACATAAACATACATGAACGAAGCTTTCGAAAGACAATTTTGCAGCGGCTGTTTAGGGCCACAAATCACCACAAAAATTGGATTCACTAACAAGAAATGTTGCAGTAAATACTTTGATTTCCTCTATTGTCACATATTTTACAATGTAAATTATTAGTATCGATTATTTCAGTGCAAAACAAAACAGAGCAAAAAATTTCCTTTTAAAATGTCGTCTGATAGCTTCAATAAAATGTGAAATTCAAACCAAAAATACTAACACTTCTTCATTTTTTACAAAGCCAAGAAATTTAATATCGACTTAAAAATGCTTTGAAATTTAACGTAAAACAGCGATATTTCGTTGGCACAACCTGTAACATGACAAAATTCGTGTTTATAGAATTTTGAACGAGCGAAAATTGTGTTTGAAAATAATACAAAGTTTACCCTTCGGAATGAGGGTTATGGAAAAATCTGATTGCTATGTTTATCTCTTTTTTAAATACTTTGAAAACCTAAAAATAATATTTTAAAACTTTTATAGCAAAACACATAGCAAAATGTTTAGGGAGTGATCATTATTTATGGGGAAGGGGGGGGGCAAACGAAGTTTTACCCTTATAAATAGGGGGGTCAAAAAAGTTTTCACACAGAGAAAGGGGGGGCGTCATAAAAGTTTTTGATTTCTATAATCACAAATAGCAAAAAAGAAGACTTTGAAAATGCTATTTCCAACGATCTAGAGACTCAAAATTTCCCTGCTCAGCGCCAACCATGGTGGCGCCTCGCGACCGTTTAGTCCACTAAGTTTAACAAGCTTTCTACTCCCTGAGTGACCCAGTTGTGGTATTTACATAAACATACCATGCAAGTACACTTAACTGATCAGATTCGGTCTATCAACGCACAATGTAACGCTGTATATCCAAAAATCTGTTTCAGAAAATGCTCAGAGGAAAATGCTCACATTTCAGTTCTAGGGGTGGAAAAATACAAAAAATTTTCTGGGGGAGAATACCCCCAGACCCCCCTACTAGTACATACGATACCACACCAAACTTTTTGTCACCAACAACCATCTGTCATCTCTCCACACTCGATATAGTATGGTCCCTTTTTGTAGATGCCCACCCCCCAGACAAGTTCTTAAAAAAACCCTGTGTTCAAATCATTTCGCTGTATGAAGACAGGTCATGGGTTAGGGTTATGGTAGGACAAATGTTGCATTGCAAAGTAGTAACACATAATATATATTTTTTAATCATATATGGTTGAATCATATTCACCAGGGTAAAACATCATGAGCTAGATTAAACAGATTGTCCTAATATCTAACTTTACATGCAATGGACACCTGTTTCATTGCTGTTAATTTTTCAATCCACACTGGGGGGTGGGGGGGAGGCACAAAAAGTTTGCCTTCAGTCTGGAGGAGGGTCAAAAAAGTTTTCAATCCTTATTTTCCCCATTTCCCCCCCCCCTCCCCATAAATAATGACCACTCCCTTATTCTGATGCTCATTTTCTGAGTCGCCTTTTTCGTATAAATTACACTTGCACATGAAATTTGCCAAAATTCAGAACTTTCTTCATTTTTTAGGCGAGTTTACATTCTATTTGCAAAAACTAGAACGAAAAGCATATCTTCTGACCTAATCAATGTTCATTGACACAACCGGTATATATGAGAAAATTAAGGTGAAAAACAAGCAATTTTAGCCTAATAATACCTCACATATACTGAAATTTGACGATGATCGTTGGCGCACAGTATCACTCAAAAACCAAATATTTATACTTTGTCCTGGACAACAAACGCATTTACTGCAAATTTCAAGTAATATTCCATCAATATTAAGTTCCTGCTCGAGGTTATTTGCCATCAACATAGGCGTACCGGGCGGGGGGGCGGGGGGGGCGGCAGCCCCCCCAGTTTTTTGGGCAGTCGGGCAATATTCGATCAACAGTCGGGCAATTTTGGTTTGCAATAAAAAAAAAATGGGACAAATTCTGTAAATTTTGTTCAAAATTAAGTCATTTTTTTGCGAAATTTTGTGATTTTTCGAAAATTTGTGTTATGCTCCGAAAAAATTGGTTGTCCGGAAAATTTTTTTGACCCCTAAAATGGTACACTGACCGAAATTTTTTTGGCGACGGGGGGGTGGAGGTCGCCAAAAATAATTTTTCCGGAAAAATTTTTTTGGTACTAGTCGGGCAGAATCCCGAAAAGTCGGGCAATTTTCTTTCCGCCCCCCTAATTTTTTCCTTCCGGTACGCCCATGGCCATCAAAAACACACATTTCGCAAGAAACGTCATTTTCGGCCATTTTGCTAATTCTTGACTGCTAATTTCCCGATTGCGTCAAGTAATTGTGTTCTTGATTAACGTTTATTAATGTTTACGTCTGCTAGCTTTCTTTTACATTTCCTCTGCTGCAGTACGAGAAACAGGGTAGCGAAATCTGTGTTTTTGTTGTTTTCACAATTTTTGCTGGAAAAAAGAAATCGTCAGCGATAAATTTGGTCAGCGACGACAATTTTCCCACTTGTTGACAGGGTGAATTTGTCAGTGGAGGGGTCATCAAGAGAAAGGGACCCAACTAGGAGGTGGTGAACGGGAAAAGTGGGAACTTGTCTGGCCCAGAATAATTTTGTATTATTAAGTGTCTGGGGCCTGATTTTCGGCATTTTTAGACACAATCTTTTATATATTTCATCCGCTAGACAAAGATTTGGTCATGGGAATACTAAAATACTCTTCTTAACTAAGTTATTCTTCCCCTTTTTGCTTATATTTTGGACAGAAGGGACCTTTACTGGGGGGGGGGGGACATAGTTCACTGGAGGGGCCAACACAGTCTATGGTATTAAAAGAGGCCCTGAAATACGATATGATATGATCATTATGGGTGCAATATGGAGAATTATTAATTATTGCTACTTATATGCATACAGTATGGAAACAGCACACATCTCCTGCAAATGACAGAACGACTACTCATTTATGTGAAGTATTTGATTAAGCCACAGCACAGGAGCTGAAAAATTGTCAAGGCCTCTGTTTACGTCATCTGCCTCATGAATTATTTAGCTTCGGCAGATAACTCAATTACTTCAGCCTTAAAAACGTTTCATATTATGCTAAACTCACTCAATGATTGTTAATTATCCCATGGCCGGTAAATTAAATCGCATGTGATATCCAAATGGAAAGTTAACTGGTGATCGAACTTCTGACCGCCGAAGTAATGGATGTCCAATGAGACACTCAGAAATGTTAATACGGTGCATTTGCATGTATACATCCACGACGAGCTTTACATATACTGTATATTATTATTGTGGTACAATGTTTGGTGCATGGCCCAGCAAGGAATGATATAGGAACCTTGACATGTATTATTTGAATTTTCTTTTCTAGGTAAGGAGAATGTTAAATTTCTTCAGTATCCCACTAGCAGTGACGGTAATGTTAATTGTTTCCAACTTTTTGGATGTCTACTTAAATACAGTACAAGTCAAGTCTGGTATAACCCTGTCCTCGCCAGAAACACGTCCGTGGCTTATTAATCCAAATCTGAGTGGAAAAGGAAAACTGGATTGGGGAATGGCAGTGCTTGCAGCTTTTCCTGCTGTCTTTGTGGTTATTGTCATTTTTATTGAGACGGAAATAACAGTATTAATGTGCTTTAAAGTAAGATATTATTATTCATATTTGTCTTGAATTGAATTCATGGTGTTGTTTTTGTTACTCATTGTAACATTCAACCAATTATCACGCCTTATGTCACAAAAATACCATGGATGTAACCTGCACCTAAGAACAAACTTTTTCAGGCAGTTATGTTCATCACAGAGACAGGTTCCTGATTTCTAAAATCTACATTATATTGTTGATATACTCTGTGAGCGAACTCTGCATGTGAAGAAAACTTGTGCCGTTGAACGGTGGCACCGCCATGATTTTATTTCGAGGGCGGGGGGGGGGGCAACCCAAAGACCGATTTACACGACACAATGACTAATTAATAATTCTTTCCCAAAATTCCTCAACAAAAAATTTTCTCGGATATTATATTAGTCATTCCCGCTTGGGTTAAAGTAACGTTATTCCTTACATTTTTCATGAATTTTTCCTAAATAAATAGCATTTTCTGGAGCATTCACAAGAGAAACGACTGGAGCATTCACAAGAGAAACGACAAACACATTTTACGGTTATATTTTCGTTAGCTTGCTCACCGTACATTTGTTGCTTTAGCACTGCACAAATGGATTTAGAACTGCACATTTTCCACCCCCTCCCCAATTTTTCACCGAATTTGAATGAATCTAAAACAACACTCTGAAAATCATGGGGGCCCAACCAAGGGAGGTCTGAGGGAGCATTTCCGAAACCTCGGAAGGGCATTTTCCGTGTTTCCTGAGAGGAATTTTTATCAAAGTTGTGAATTTCGTGCATTTAAAAATTCTTGTAATGCACTTTTTATAAGTTTTTACAAATTCAATCCTTTGTGTGGTGTAACAAAGAAATAGCATAAAAAACATTTATGTGGAAAAACACCGTATATGTTAGTATGTTTTGTCAAGTCTTGGCTGACGTTTGTACGCGTAATGCCCACCTATATTGCCCGGTTTGTTTTGGCCATAGAAATAATATATATCTATTACATATCTATTGTTTCTATGGTTTTGACGCTAAAGCCACGGATTCAGACAATTGCACTCTAAAATAGTCTGGTTAAATTCTGGATCTAAAATTACTGCAGAGCAACGAATATTTAAAAGGTTATGGCTAATTTGAATTTGAAAGGGTGTACATTTTTTTGATACACCCTGTATAGTTTCTCGAATAGTTATCCAGGAACTTTCTTGAATGCTAGCTCATGTGCTGCTGTCGACCCAGTAAATTTAGAACAATGTTTTTCGACAGTAACGACTAAGGGCCTGTTCATATGATCCCGCTTACCGGGACGTCTCGCTTACCGATGATCTCGCCGCCTATCTATTTTCCTATAAAATTTTGCATTGTGTTCATATGAGAAAGCGAGCTGGCCCGCTTGCCGAGATCTCGTTTGAATTTGCCGAGATCATAGGTAGGCGGGATGAAAATGTTTCCATATGAACACGCCAGCCCGCTTACCGGGATGAAGTGAAACAAGTCTTGCCGGTTTAATTTAACACTTTTTACTTGGTTTTATGTTTGTTTTGTAAACAAGTATTAAATAGCCACCTGAAGCAATACTTTTTCTTGTAAATAAACGAAGAAAAACACTAAAATCGCCAAGTATTTGTGTTGCTTGACTGAAATGTAGAAGTTTTGCATATGCTATTAATTATAGAACTTCAATGTAATTTCACTCGGCAAGCGGGACGAAATACTCCATATGAACGCACGGAAATATTCGTCTCGGTAAGCGAGACGTCCCAGTAAGCGGGATCATATGAACAGGCCCTAAGAAGCTATGTACATAAAGTTTGTGGTGGTTGTTGAATGTATAATACGAAAACGTTTTACACACTTATGCACCTCACATTACACTACTTTAGTTAATGATTGATATATTACATATATTATTAATATCGTCTTTTTATTAATACATGCAATGATACTTATTTTAGGAGACAGTATCAAGAAAAGGATCTGGATTTCATACCAATCTTTTAGTAGTTGCTATATCTATATTCATTTGTTCGATATTTGGTTTGCCCTGGATGTGTCTTGCAGCAGTTGAAACCAGCAACCATATAGATAGTCTACGAGTGTGGACATCGTACAATATTCCTGGGATTAAGAGTCAGGTTGAGAAAGTTCGACAGCAAAGGGTTACCTTATTCTTTATTGGTTTGGCTACAGGTACTATTTTATTATTCTTAGTGTCATCTTGGGCCAACAGAGATCAAAAGAAGGAAAATAAGTTATTAGAGAGTTGGGAATTTTCCACGTAAAACATGGGGCGTTCCAATTTCCCACCAAAACAAATTTAGTTAAGATTTTTTCGTAATTTTCAGTTAGAATATCCTTCCCAAAGTGTTAAGATTTTCCTGACCATTGTTCTATCTGTTTATACTAAATACCGAACACGTCGCATTATTGTTAGTTATATAGGTATTGGCGCGGTCTCGATCATTTCTGGACAGTCTTTTGGCGCTGCTATAGTTGATATAATTAAACGTGGTCACGTGAACTAATTATGTAATTGGCCCTGGCATTCAACTCCTTATAACCGTTTCAAATTTGAATCCGAATGAGAACATTTTATGGCTTTTGGATTAATAAGTAAACACAACCTTGCCAAACGTCTTCACACAATTTTCTCATTATTTAGGTTTGTTCTTGTACCAACCATTCCATTTTGGACATATTCCTATTGCCCTGTTGTCAGGACTTACATTATACATGGGCGTGGTTGCAACATTTGGTGTGCAGTTCTTCAAACGTCTAGAACTGCTGTTTATGGCACCAAGTCAACATCCATATATTGACTATTTAGATAATGTAAGTATGCGAGGCTATTATAAACTTTCAATATCACGGCATTTTTCAATTTTTGGAAATTGCTTGCAGAAACGACTCAAACTACGTTGGACTCAGAACACTAGGCTGAATAATTGATTGCCAAAGTGATTGGTTATTTTCGATCCTTTTGACAAAAAGCATTGGGCATTTCATATTAAATGGCAATGTACTGCAGACTTAGATTATATAGGAATATTTTATTCGTCTGTTATCATTTTATTTCCTAGGTTCCATTATTGAAAGTTCACCTCTTCACAGTAATTCAGATAATTATGATAACTCTACTAGTGGTGATAAAATCAGTTGATTCAATTTCATTTATCTTCCCAATATTTATCATGTTGATGATACCCATGAGAGTTTTACTCGGCAAATATGCCTTTACTCCACTTGAAATTGAACAGGTAAATAATATATAAATAATTATAATTACTGAGTAGGACAAACACAATGGTCAATTCATACCAACTCCAAAAAAAATATTAATTCACTTACTTGCCTGCCAGAGAATGGGATGAATTTGAAAAACATTTTGCGTGCTTGGATGATGCAACTATCTGAAAAATAAGAACAAACGTTTTACTGACTTCCAGACGAAAGCTGGACTTCGCTCGAAACGTCTACTTTTGTTATTATTTTTCAGTTAGTTGCATCATATGTTCAAGTCCGCAAATTGCATCCACTATATTGTCCCTGGCACCAGGCCCGTAACTAGGTATATGCATGAGTCAACCGAGTCAGTGACTCGGTTAGAATTTTCGTGAAAAAATATAAAATAAGAACTCAGACTGTAGTTCTCTCCATGTGAAGAAGCATTCTTCTTGCCCTACATGCAGTGACCTATAAGAAGTGGGAGACTGTGTGGTTGCACAAGTACCCCCAATAACAAAAGTGCGAGATAGCGCCCCAAATATTACCACAATTGGGCACAAACACTTTTTATCATGCACCTGATCATGTTCGACCAAGAATATTTGTAATTCGTAGCCTCAGGATTGGGGCAAATCTACAGGATAAAATTATAGTAATTGTGTCACTGTTTATGAGATTGACTTAAATGCTATCATTTTCCCACCACAACCAGGAAATTTAATAAACTCTTTTGATATTTTGTAGTTGGATAACGAACAAGATGACGAACATCATTAGCAAGAGGCAGAGAAGAATCTATATATTAGTTAAATATATATATATATATGTTATTCACTTATTGACTGAGCTCTCGGTCCGGACTGCAGGATATTAGTCGAGTTCTTTTTTCGTTTGTTTACATATATCAAACAAGCTCAGTCAATAAGTTATTTATTATATGGCTCAAAACAAATCAGAACATTCTTCGAAAAAGAGTGTTTGTAAATTAAGTCGAGAATTAAGTTGTTTACATTATTTGAACATTTAAAAACGCAGTTTTTGACAAAGTTAAAACGGTAACAACATGTTTTCAGATATTAATATATTGAAAGTCGAAAACAGCAGTTAATTAGTCCATGAGTTTCACTTTAGTTCGCCGAAAAAGCCGTTCATTGGCGGCAAGTATTAAGCATTAAATATGAAAAAAGTTAAAAAAACCCGATTTTTAAAAAAAAGTTTTAAAAATCGTAAGCAGTCGCAGACATATCGCAGATGTCTGCGACTGTCTGCCGATTATTTGCCGACCTAGTGTTCACATTCAAATCGCTTTTAACATGAGAATTTCATCTCTGTTCGGTGTGCTTAGATCGTCCGCCATCTTGTTTACCAGTTGCACTGCATTATGGGATACAATTTCGTCGCAGACAATCGCCGATCGTGTTCGCATAAACTCGTAGGGATCGATCGATCGATCGTTTGAGAAGACAGTCTGCGCAAATCTGCGTTAAACTTTGTGTTCGCATAACAATTCGGCACATGTCTGCGACTGCTTAACGATCGCATGTGAACTAGGCTTATAGTATCATTCTGTCTTCTGTCAGCATTTTAGGTATAATTATAAAAGCGGTTATTATACATGTAAACAACGTTTTAGCACAAACTAGAGTATAAAAATATAAAAATACTTACCAAGGTCACATTATACATGCGTAAAAAAGCACAGCTTGTAACAAGTCTGCAAACAAGTTGTTACAAGTCTGTTCACAAGCTGTCAACAAGTTGTGTTTGCACTGCTTGTTCCCAGTTGTTGCAACAAGTTTGAAACAAGCTGTTAACTCAACTTGTGACAAGCTTGATGGCATTAACAGACTTGTTACATGCAAGGCTGTGCTAACAAGTTTTTACAGCCATGATATAACAAGCATGTTACAAGGTTGTCAACACACGGTTGTAACAATTGAACGGACTTGTCAGAACAACCTTGTAACAAGTCTGATAATTTCGGCAAAGTCGCTACAAGTTGTCAACAAGTTGTTCTAAAACTGTTGACAACTTGTGACAAGCAGTGCGAAGACAACTTGTGACGGCTTGTTGACAAACTTATTACAAGATGTGAGATTTTTTCGTGTGTAGGTCTTTTTAACTGGGAAAAGAGTTATTTAAGTTGTGTTTATTTTTTGTGAGGGGTCCATCTTATATATGATAGCGGTCCATACTATGAGATCAGTGAGCGGTCTGTACTGCAGGCAATAGCGAGCTTAAGCAAGCGACGTTTTTGACAACACGAACGTTGACCGGAAGCAAATTTGACGTTATCAACCAATCAACATTCTTGACCCAGTCTTTTGACGTTACTCATGCCGTTCGTGTTGTCAAAAACGTCGCTTGCTTATTGTCGATTTCCAGTCACTTTTCAACGCACGGTTCCCAAGTTCGTTGCGAACTTGCCAATTACGTTTCCAAGTTCGGAAATTGGGCGCGAACTTCGCAACAAAGTTCGCAAGTTCATTTCAATGTTTGAACTTGATTTGTAAACAAATGTCCATACTCAATGATAATAACTAACTCAATGAGATGCAAACCTTCTTGGTAGCCCACTGGACCAAAATCTTTCCATTGAATTGTTAATTTCAACTTGAACTATGAACATTTGTTTACAATAGTTCAAACATTGAAATGTACTTGCAAACTTTGTTGCGAAGTTCACAACGAACTTGGAAATGTAATTGGCAGGTTCGCAACGACCTTGGGAACCACGCGTTGAAAAGTGACTTGAAATCGACAGTAAGCTCGCTAATGACTACAGGTTACCGACCGCTCAGGAACCAATCAAAATGCTGCATTTTATAGATGGACTGCCTTGCCATTTAATACATTTATTTAATAGTTATATTGTGAAAACACACATCAGTAAGGAAAACAGAGTATAGAAAATGTTTTATTGTAGATATTATGTAATCCATATTTTAAATTTTAACTATATAGGGTTTGGTGACGTTGATGATTAACTATTTTTTACATAATTTAATATTTCTATATCTACGCACACATATTGTATATATAACGAAATAAACTATGTGAATGCACTTAAAACTAGTATACAGGGTGTATCATAAAAAAGACCTTTAGAAATTAATCTATTGTTGTTAGGCACAATATATTTTGCTCCTGGTAATTAAAAATTCAATTCAATTGTGTTTTCGCACTCTTGTGTTCAGCGTATAGTGCTTATAGCATTCAAATTATAACAATATAGGATCATTTCTAAAGGTCTCCTTTTTATATGCACCCTGTATATTGGTCATGCATTTTTGTCTATAAGACACCATGACACGATTTGTCACGTTACCTATAGCTATACTGTACGAACATCTAGTTTCGACCACACTGCATTACCATGGAAAAAAATGTAATGCGTATATAGGATATGCGTGGAAGAACAACTTTTGTTTGTAAATATGGATATGCAATTTGTAACTGTTTGAATGTTTTTGTAGTAATGTTGAATCAGGTTCGGAAAATCAGGATCAAAACGGGGCTATACGTTTTCACGAATACTTTTGAAAAAACTATTCAAATACTACTGATGAATATGTACTATTTAAAACACGAGTAGGAGTGTTTTATATCAGATATAATAACGCGAGGCGCAGCCGAGCGTTTTATATCTGATCAGTAAAACACGCGAGAACGAGTGTTTTGAATAGCTTAAAATACTACAAAAGAATACTAATTAGGATGAACAATTATATAATCATACTAATTAGGATGAACAATTATATAAAGAATACTAATGAAGATGAGTTTTATCAGATATAAAGTCACTCCACGTGACATATTATGGCTGACATGATTTGCCACAAACTAATGAAGATGAGTTTTATCAGATATAAAGTCACTCCACGTAACATATTATGGCTGACATGATTTGCCACAAGGTTTATGAATGATTTATTTTCATATTCTAACGTACCCTGGGTGGCAGTGGGTGCCAGAGGTTCTTCCACGCTCGGGTAGGGTAATTGTAACCTTTTTCACAAAGACATTGAGAAATCAAGATTTCAAAGTTTTAGAAGATGTCTCTTGATTATATATATATATATATATATATATATATATATATATATATATATATATATATATATATATATATATATATATATATATATATATATATATATATATATATATATGCTTATTAAAATACAATATATATATATGCTTATTAAAATACATTAACAATTCATGAAATAATTCAAATAATAATTAGTTTAGTCAGACAATATTTTAATCAAACAGTTTACTCGGCACGCGCACGCCATATATATAGCTGGTCAAAGAACCGTTCTTTAAATTAAATTTTGCCTATATAAGGTGTGCACAGATTGCCTTGAACCAACTGGAATATTCTCCGACATCCCAGCCTACGTGGTTGGGGTTGAGGCGTGGGAATCGAAAATTAGGGAGGTGAGGCGCAGGAAAGGCAAAAATTCGGGCGAGAAATACCGCCTGCCGCGCGTTGCCGTTCACCAGTGGACGGGACAAAACCCCGCGAAGTGGCTAGTATTTTAGGTACTTGTCAATCAAATAGGCCAGCTGCTCGTGTTTACACGCAGAGGCGTCTGTTTCCCAAAGTGCACGAGCCAAGCTATATCCACAACTTCCTTACATATAATTTTCCGACACTTGTGGTTAACTTGCACGTTCGTACTTGCATATAGTAATATACACAGTCAGTATTTATGTTGTTGATCAACATCACTATAGCATACACAGTCTATTTATGATGATCAACATCACGGTGCATATTCATGACTAATAGATCACTGTATCATTGGTAGTTTTATGATTATATAATTCCCCATGTATTATGATTTGTTTTCGTTGTTAACATTCCGGCTTCACCTGCACATCAAGGCATATCTTAAGAAATATAAGAAGTGTAGTGTTTATTCAAAAACATTCCATACATCAGCACTGGTGAACCCGTGAAGCCACATTGGTATGGTTAAAATAACATTACCAACGGAAGGAGACATAAAAACATTCATGTATGCATGACCAGTGTTTGAAAAGGGACGTTCAAAATATACAATAGACGGTGAAATTGTATATATTGTTTTTTTAAATCTTGTTTGCTGATTGGACATATTGATAAGGAAAGGCATGCAGTACCAACAAACACTGGAATTATGTCACTAGGCTCGGACTTGGGGGGCATGTCGTATAAATTTCTGTTTCAGATAATCTTCCATTTCCTTTCCGGTATTTCAAAATACGTCAAATTTAACATCCAAACTTAAAATTATATTTTATATATATTATACATCGTGTCCCCCAAAAGCCCCCATTACATATAACTTACATCCCAGGTAAAGGTCGGGAGGTGCCACTCTTTTTTTCTTGCAGCTGAGTGACTGAATGAGTGTGAATTGGAAAGGACGCAGCTCAAACGTAAGTCACACACTCAAAGGCTTTCAATGGCGCTTCCACCGGATTGCCACAATATATACTATACCCATGTCTGATCACGAAGCACAGCTCGGTTTTGGTGATGGAGATTGGAGAAAACCCGAAAAAACCCTATATAAAAGCACAGGAGAGAACCAAGAACAAGTCTGCACAACTCTACTTACATGGCTTTTCAAGCACATCATGTAAGTGTAGAGTAGTACGACTGTACGAGCATTAATTTCAAAGACAAACGAAACAACACGAATCCAATCCTTTCCACTAGTCAAGCTCAATCCACTTTTCCTATTCAGCGATACAGTCCACATTTTTTACTACGCTTATGATACCATTGTCAAATTTCCATTTGTTTGCCTTCGCCTACACACAATAGAGAAAAGTATTTAGTGTAGAACTCAGTTCCTTAGGGCGCTTTCCATTTAATGGCCTGACCGGTCAGACCCAAATTTTTGTCTCTGTCAATGGAAAGATCTGGTCGATGTTTCTCAAATATCTAGCGAAAATGGACCTCATTCTAATGTTATCTAAATTTTCAGGTCAGATAGGTCCAAAGCCCAACGTTTTGTGTTTCATTCAACAACTTGACCGTTCTGGCCGTGTCAATGGAAAGCGCCCTTAGATTTAGGTGTATGTATGCATATCGTATCCGATCATGCTGTGGCTTTCAAAACTGTAGATTGATATAATTAACAATTACATTACTTTATTGTACTTCCTAGCTTTACTTGCTAATTTGTTGCAGACATCCTGTAAAATATCCTCTTGACAAGTAGTCGTACCTCTGTTGATCTTCATTGAGCTAATAAGCTAGTGCTAATACGAAAGTACATGCAATACTCTTTGTCCATTTGTTGTGATCCTTACTTATTCATATAAATGTTATATATATGAGAAATATCTTACTGCAGTCATACTGATTTAAGCTATAGTCAAGACCCTCGGAAGTAAATCAATATTGGTGGGGGGAGGGGTGAGGGCTCAAGAATAAATCTGAATTGCTTTCGTACTTTTCTAGTTCTCTTGCGTGTTTTGCTTATACAACCGACGGTCTTGTGTAGTTGACTATACTGTTGTCCGCTGATTGGGGTCTGGCCCTCTTGCCATAATTATGCCATAATATGAAGGAGTGGGAATAACTGTAATGAATATGATATTTGCTGTGTTGGTGTAATGTACTCAGGTGAATAAGATGCTTGTGTGGAATATTTTTCAAGCCTGCGCGGTGTGGATTTACACTCAGAGTAACATCACACAAGCATGTAATGAATATATTTGTTGTATTTAGGGCTTCGGTGGCGCAATCGTCAGAGCAAGCGCCTTTCACCTCTGAGATCATGGGAACTCATGACACTTTCAACGGGTTTCAACGCTCTACGGAACGTCTAGGGTTTTCTCCGGGTAAAGTGATTTGGGAAAGGCCCCAAACTGACCCTTCCACCGCAGCTGTGTTCCATAGTCAGACATGAGACGTAATTAGGCATGGCTGCCAAAGGCGCCCTGAGAAAGCCTTCGCTCGATCAGGTTGGGCTGTACTCTTCGTATTTATATAGCTTAGCCTCAGCTGTAAGGATGATTAGTACATTCCCACTTACACAGTACATAATTTACTCTCTGATTTAGTGATTTGTAATTATGAATATTGGCATCCCTGAAAGAGTCAGGAATATAATGCGATATTTCATGCGTGCGGTTATGTAGGCGTATACTTCACCTCCCTATAAGATTGGCATAAGTATATGTCCCAATATATTCCTGTCATGAGATTTTATCTGATCAAATCTCACAGCATGATGCCGCGAGCTTGATGTCTTGCCGCCTTCAGAATATGCATATATAGTTGCCCTAGTGGTGTGTTGAAAAACATAAAAAAGAAAAGGCCCTAACGTAGTTTACTGACACAAATACAGTATAAGTAAAGCCCCATTTGAATGGGGATCCGATTACTTTATATCATCGAACTTCGATCGATCAGAATGAAAATTCACTAGAACTCCAGTAGAACAACTATAGCCAGTATAGGCATAGCCATGAGAAAGGTACTTTAAATTAAAGAACCTTTCTCATGGCTATAGTTGACACTTTAATCAAGACTGCGTAATTAACCGTAAATCGTAATATCCAAATCAATACGGTAAATGTATAACCAGAACCTCCTACAAGTTATTGAACATTACATGCATAACACTACATTTTCTTCTAAAGTGTTAGATATTAGCCTGTACGAAGTAATTACGTACAAAGTAATTATATTTCACTATTTTGTTTTAGCACGATCCATTATTAGCATCAGATCGTGTTTGTTCCTGAGTTTATTGTTCCAGACTACCTACACAATTAATTTACTCGCAATACCTTATCTTGCGTGCAGTGACGCAATCAGATATAGTGACCCACATCTCTGTTCGTTTAAACGACTTTTAATGCCATTTTATATTATTTCCAAGTTTTGTCAAGTATACAATAACGAATAAATAATTGTCGATGTAGTTAGACTGCTACACATGGACCACATGGTTCGTCATCATTATAGTGCATGGCACTTGAAGTGCTATGCACTATAATGATGTAAGTGCGACGGTAAGAGCAAAAAAATGCTCTTTGTCCTTTGATGCCTGATACCGTAAAATATTTCTTTGCCTGGCGTTCGCCGTTTGACGTATAAACGCGAAGTTAAAGCTTTGCGTATCGTCAAACGAGAAAGAGAATCGGGGGAGGTAAATTTATTCCTTTTTTCCCTTAAAATATTTGGGCAGAGTTTTAAACGTATAAACATTCACAAGTTGGGGTAAAATATTGGTAAATTGAAGACCCTAGGCCTAGCAGCGTTATTCACGAGGCTACTTGTGTTTTTTTTTCATACGTACGCATCGCTGTTTTGTAGACTCTGTATACCAAACTTTAGGATTACAACTTGATGTATAATTATGATTTCTTGCCAAACATGACCATAGTAGTTGAAATGTAAACATGGCTGTATTGAAGAAAACGTCGCTTCGTCAAGCATGCAAGCTCAATTTATGGTGCTGTTGGTGCAGCTAGTGGTCGGTGTACGCTTGGAGTTTACAAAGGAAACTTAGGATATTGTAGGGATGCCTGCGGAGGAGTCTAAGCGGATGTTGGGTCAGGTTTCTTTGTTCAAAATATCTATCCAACACTTTGTTTTGGATCGGTATGAATGGGCTTTCAAGGAATTAGTTCAATACGTACAATTGTTGCGTATACATGCAATTGTTGAAAATTGAGTACAAAGCTTAACGTCGAAAAATATATAAAAGATGATATTGATCCCGTTCCTTGTTTTACAGATAGCCTTATTTGAATGTATATTGATATGTCAAATACTTTGGCATTAGCTTTTAATTGAAAATTTATCTAGATAACTTTTCATAGCTTGCAATAAAAACATTAGACAATATGTCAACTTTTGTTATCTGCGATATTTATATTGCATTATATGACGAAAAATAAAGACTGTCTATAACTATAGGCAACCAAAAACCTAATAAAACATTTCTTTGAATTAATATATTAGAATTATATGTTATTTGATCAGACTACATATGTTGAAATATATAGTTGTATATAAAATATATCAAAGTTGATATGGGAGAGCATATTAATGCAGGCGGACCTCCCTGATTGCATTTTTATTGATTGACATTTTATCTTCTTTCCAAACTATGAACACATTACTCTGATTTCATGCCTCAATTTGATGGCGCACACCTGCGCCAGCCATATCAAATTCACTATCTAAGTTCTGATTAAAGGCAATATAAAAAGAAGATTATCCAAGTTTTCTTAATATCTATACAGAAGGTTTGTCATTGAAAGCTGTCAAAACATTAACCTTTCAATTTGACCTCTTTCAGAAATATAAGTTTTTATGATGAAAGAAACGTTTTTATGAAGTGTATACCGGTGACAATTGATCACACATTATATGAAAAGTGAATTGGAAATTGCATATTTATAGACGAAATAATTGTCTTGGTATATGTAAATTGTCAGACCAGCTGAATTAACATGATTCGTCAGTATAACTAAAAGATAAAATTAATATAGTATTTTTATCTTTTTTTATAGTATCTAAAGAACAAAGAGTTGATTGAAAATTGAAACTTTTTGTTGCTGTTTTTGCGTGAAAACTGCGTAAAAGTCTTAGTGAATTTGTTCTAATCTAATTCGCATTAATGGTCTTTGTGTCCATAATAGTAATTAGCTGAATAAATAGAATGGCTAAAGGGAACAAAGATGACAATTGGGATGTTATCCCGTTTGTTTGTTACAGCGACATACTGTAATAATAGAAGGGTTTTAATGGTTAGCTAATGGCTTTGTCGTTGACAACTTGATGAAATAATAATAGCATAGTGCTGGCCGTATTTATTGCGCATACTCAGATCTTTCATTAGAAACAAGCGTGGACAAATAATTGCAACATTTTAATGAAAATTAATGTAAAACGTTCAAACTAGGAACCGCGTGGTGTTACATCCGCTAGCTATACCAGTTTTGAATAATTTCATTCTTGCGGTTGAATAAGCATGGCGAACATGTGAAACCCATTTGCTTGTTTGGTTAGGACTAGTTTGTTTTATCGTAAAAGGAAATCACAGTGTAGACAAAATAAGTATTCTATATGGTCTTAATACCATGTCAATCATAGACACTTGTGTAAACTCTAATTTCCTCTTATATACAAAAACGTTTTCCTTCATTCATATTTTTTCGCCAACATTTGAACTGTGCTGTCATTCCATTCTTGTGCGTGTCATAGCGTGTTTTCGTATTTTCAAAACCAAACATGAATGAAATAACTCCACAACCTAGAAGAATTCGTTCTTTTTTCATCAAAGACATTTTGGAACATAGAAACCCTCCTCCGACAGAGGAAGCTGAGAGCCCAACAACCCCGAGTGGACAATCAACCCAAACAACCAGCACTCCTTACACAGTTCAACATATTCTGGGGACCAACGAAGAACGCCCAGTAGACCCATGTAGCACAGGTAAGATATATATATATATATATATATATATATATACGATCCTGTATATAGGGAGAGATATACAATCTTATACTGTATCCTGCCTGGGTTAATCTAAAATAGAATCGCTCTTTGACAGATAAATTACTTATACATATCATCGTTTTAAAAAATGCATCGTTTTGCGGGAAAACACTTTATCCGAGAAGCTTCCTGAGATATCTCATAGACTCGTTGACTCTCAATTTATCATGTTAAAAGCTCGTTTCATTCAAGAAGTGCAGGGATTCAGTTTGTTGAGACAGTCTGTTTACATTTTTATTACCTAAATGTAGCGCAATATTAAATAAAGTTATGTTTTCAGATGATTGTTCGTTTATTGTTTGGGTTTTATAGCCAACCTCATATATCTCAGTCACGTTTTATATAAGCACGCTCTGATCTCATATATGGTCGCAACATAATATGTTTAACAACATACACGGAATAATTATACAATCGTACACTCATTTTTACTTTAAAAACACATCACAATAATATTCATAACAAAGTCAAAGATCATGCAGAATGTGTCTCTATATCTACATCATATATAGAGTTTTATTATATCAGTATAGCTGTCAATTAAACCTCGTATGATCGCAGACCGAATTTTCACTATAACAAGACCCTTTAATAAAGATTGCGAATACATAAATTATTTTCAATAACATTATACTTACAGTCATGGCCAAAGCTATAATTTTAAAGTTAAAAATATCTTTTTAGACTCTTTATATATAGATAATAAACAAATTAGTCTTGAATGCTTTGAAGCTCATGCAGTACATATATAAAACACTATTTTAAATTATAATTACTTTGATGTTGTGAAGCGATGGAAGACTCTAACTTAGTCAGTCTAACTGAAGACGTTATACTAACTTCTCAGAAATCAGTGTATATATAATGATACATTGAATGTCAGCCAAACAACAGGATTTGATTGCTGTGTTAATAATGTATAGCTATAGCCTATAATATTTTGTCTTGAATTGTCTATTGAACTGCATGCATGTATGATCATCTTATTATAAAAATCCTTTGCTTATATATAGCTATGCATGATAAAGAAGTCCCTTCCCAATTTTTTACTTGCGTATACATCTTATATATATATACAGTTTTAAGAATTAAGGTATTACTCCACTTTAACCACTGAATTTCATATATATAGATATCATCTGCATGATAAACTATATGAATTCATGTCTAATTCATGCAATTCTCAAAAATACCTCCCAAATCTTCCAATATATATAAATTTATATATTTGGCCGCAGTTAGGCCATATCAAAATAAATTCCTCGATTCTCGTCACCGCCCGACGATATTTGGATTTCCGCGTTGATGTATTTCTGTATTTTGTTATAAAATATAAATTTACCGGCCGACCACGAGCATCTTTATAGATTTAGTTGTAGATTTAATTGTTTTACCGTTAATATTGCAACATGTTAAGGGATACTCGGGATACTAAGGAAAACATGGGCTTGTTACAACGATTTGTGTGGGTATGTTCAATAACGCATGTGTAATTCTCCACTTAATATAAAAAGACCTCCCTCTCAAAATTTTTAAATTTTAACGTTTTTTTTTATATTTTGATATAAAATATAAACCATCTACCTCCTGGGCGTTTTTAAAATTTAGTGACTTGTAAAGTAGAGTCTGACGACATTTACGATTTCCCACATGCATGCGAATGCATAAGTAAATTGATGATTTAAAATGCTTTTGTTTCTCTGATCATCTGAGGCTCATGTCATGCAGGGGAGATATAAATCCCTGAAGGTTGCCAACAACGATATAAAGTATAGAATAAATTCTCAATAGTTATAGCTTTCTGAAACGAGAAATTTTCAAACAAAAACATTTGGTGAAATGTTGGGCGTTGAAATGCGTCTATGTTTTGAAATGCGTCTATGTTTTGAAATGCCTGGGCGTGATGATGAAATGATACCGGATGATAGACAACAATAAATGCAAAGAAAAGTGATGAGATATGGCTCGGAACTTTGTTATTTTTGCGGCATCATATCATCCGAAATAATATAGTTTTAATTACATGTTCTCCAAGTTTTCTGTTGACACATTTTTGTATAAAAAGATCAAAATAACCTTAATATCTTTTGGTGATCATTATAGACTATACCTTCGTTTAGGAATCGTTTCCTGCACATTTTCCTCCATCTTATTTGCATATGAAAGTATCTTCATATAAGGTGCTATATAGCTGTTGTTTAACTAGGTAGTGATTTGGTAAAGGATTTACATATAAATATAGACAAGTGAGCTCTGACAAAGTGTAATAGATTACTGCATGTAAGATTGAGTTGTTCCTTTATCTAAAACCAAAACTATATAACTGATCATGGGCCGTAAAGGGGCGAGGTAATTGACGGGATTCGAAGAACCATGCAAGGAACCTTCCCAAACTTAATTGAAACTAATTTAAACTATTACTAACGTTATGTCCAATATGGCAAGGACACTCACGAACCAGGGACCATGCATGCACGTACATGCATGCCATTTCAATTAACGTCATAGAACTAAAGACCGGATCAAACGAGGATGTGAGAGAGTTGGCACTAGTCATTGCTCAGCTGTTCTTAATGCTTTCCCAATACAATAATATTATTATATGTATGTATTCTATCTAAGTTTATAGTTGCATGGGACACTCTTAAAACAGTTATTTTGTTAATCTACTGCTTAAAATGCCCCCTGTAACAACCTCATCCAACTCTCATTTCTCGTCGTGTGACCATGGTTTAACTAGAGTATCTATGTAAACGTTTAAAAGAACTCGGTTTATACAGAACAGCAATGGTTTATCCGATGTCATTCAAAAACAAGAAAATGACTGCAGACTTCCTGATTGTTTTGTATATTGCTAGAAAAAAACGCCCACCAGCTCACAGTTTGCAGTATTGCTCAATATAGATCATAGACTTTTGATTATATATTAACTGACTGATTGAGATGATATATAAATATTCTCGACCAATACTAAAAGTATATTGCTGTATATATACTGGACATATTTTTGTCTTCGTTATACTTTTATAATATAAATAATCAATCCTTTTGGCTCCTATACTCATTACACTATTTTAATTTTAGGATGTTGCAACTGTCCGAGTGTCTATCCTGCTTACAAGAGTGCTGCAGTTACAACACCATTTTATCATCCATATCTTTACACATTTTATCAGCAACAAGCAGCATGGAGACAATCTTTAAAGGGTACGTTGACTTTATCCAGTCACGATACTGCATGTGAATAAATCTGCGAATTTTCTGTACGGTTTATAGATTCTCACTCAACCAGTTGTCAGTTTACGTTATAGTCTATGCCGAATGGAATAATTCATTCCTTAAAATTGTTGCAACAGTTAATCCGTAAAATGACTAGCATGAGTAACTAAATATTCTTAGATTAAAATCTATAATTATGCTGGTCAATTTCATTTTAATTTTAAAAGGCATTGGTTACATTGACCCTCCCTTGTATCCTTCAAAAAACGCACAATCATGCATGCATGTAAATTAATTCGTAGACCATACAAAGATGTCAGCATGAGCTCCACCTTTGAATTTACTATATGAGTAAATTGTTAAACATGCCTGAATTTATTAATATGATAAATTCGCGGCACCTAACCCCTAACACTATAACCCCAACCCCTAACCCCAACCTTATAACGGCCTAACCCTTATCTAACGTTTTTAAACTTTTTTTGAAAATCTAACTTTTTAAACTTTTACTTTTGTTAACTTTTTTTAACTTTTTAAAACTTTGTTTGAAGATTTCGTCCTAAAAGGCGTTCTTCCAGTCCCACAAACGGCCTTGTACGATTCACAAAAAGCCGAACACAAATTTCCATAAAATTAGAAGTTCCTTTATACTACAGTATAATCTGCCCCTCCACTAACTCTGTATCAAATTGGGTCGCCACCAACCTATATGAACGCCCTTTATGATTGGTTGATGATATCAATAAAAGACAATGAACTATAGAAATTACCTTTCTAAAGAACGAGTCATAAACATTAATTTGGGAAATGGGAGACAAAACGCGCCAAACACAAATTAACATAGAACTAAAACTATATGATTGACTGTGTTAACCCTGGTCTATTTCTCCCTGGATGGAGTTGCGTAGGGTGAACCACAAAACAATTTGACTAACTCATAAAATTGATTTACTATAATTTGTACTTATGCTGGTTAATATCTCCCTAGAAGGAATTACCTATGTGGACCCACAAAATCCCCTGTACTCCCAAGTGAAGCAACGTAAGCCGCGCAGACCCTGGACCAGAGCTGTATTCTCAAACCTTCAGCGTAAAGGTCTTGAAAAACGTTTCCAAGTTCAGAAATACCTCACTAAAGGAGATCGACATCAGTTGGCCTCCATGTTGGGCCTTTCTGATAACCAAGTCAAAGTTTGGTTCCAAAACAGGAGAATGAAATGGCGCCAAGAGGAGCAGACTGTGGACGAGTCCGCCGAGAAAACTGAACTTCAAACTTCAAATGTGCCCACAAGCTCAAATAGTGACGTGACAGTAAGGAGTAAGGAGTAAAGAATAAGACGCTGGAAAATAACACGAAGGAACATCTTGATTGGGGATGAAATTATCAGCAAGAAAGATCAAAATCATCCGGACTATTGTTCCATTTCACAAATAAGAAATCCTAATTTTGATAAACATTCAACAATTAAAATTCCATTCATTATCAAATACAACCATTATAATTCAAAAGCAGGGAGAAAAAGCATCAAAATTGATACGTCAACAAACAATATGAATGCAAATTCTAAAACTGAATGAATATAGATATATACATGCGTCACCAATTTCTTAAAAATTAGAGCTGCTAATTATATTTAAAGGAGTTGTAAAATGCAAAATTTTATATTTAAAACCCAATTCATTCAAAAGCAAAAACTTTATAACGTCCAATCTCCTTAGACATAATCGGATGTCAACTACATTTTAAATTATGTAAAATATCAGGGGCCGGTTGTATAAAAAAGTGATTAAAGTTAATTATAATTAAGCGGAAACGTCACCCAATAAGAAGCGCCTATTTGAGAGTTAATCACTATTTAACTACAAAATAGTGATTTAAAAAGTGATTAAGAGTTTTATACAACCGGCCCCAGTACTACAACCTGCGCATCATTTGTACATTTCAATAGTTTGAGTCATTCTCGTACCCATAGCCCTTCTTACGCGCGGTCAACGGAGCGACGAGAGGCTCTGGCCAAATCCATATCAAACTGGCATCTGATTGGCTACAACAAAGGTTATTGCTCTAATACCGGATATATTCTTTTACCATGTTTTTATGGTATCAGGTTTTGGAAGAAGTAGAAGGGCTCTGGGTACGAGAATGTAGTTTGAGTGTGCACGAAACAATAGCTTGAAATCGAGGCGGATAATGTAGTTTATTGTCATTAAGTAATTTTCGTTGCCAGCTAGCAAATTCAGGAATTGTCTACATGCACCACTATATGTTATTTGTAAATAAATATTCTAATACACTTGTTATCGTACATTGTACATTAGGTAAAATTATTCTATTACTAAAATGTATGTCATTGATGATAAATATCAGGATTATCTTGGCCATCTCACTCGATTGAACGAATGTTGAAGTGTTTTGTAGTTGGAAATTTCGAGTGTAAGTTTTTAAACATTAATTTAGACCTAACCACTCTGGCGCAGCGCAACAGGTGGGAAAACTGTAGACCTAAAAGGGAGGGAGGTCGCGCCTGGGTGGGGAGATTATTAAAAAAAGGTCATCAAGTTTAGTTTAGATTAGTGGAGGATTAAGATTAGATTAGGTTAGATTAACTGATTAAGATTATGTTAGGGAGGGTTAATTAGAGTTGGTTAGGGTTAGGTTCATACAACCCAATAAGTTATTGGATACAATCGGTTTACAATCACCTAATAGATTATTGGTTACAACGTGCGGAATAGCTGAGTTATTATAACTCCTCCTATCAATTTTAGCAGTTCCAAAACTTTTTTTGTCAATCGTTTTTCAGCCTCAAATAACAATTCAGGCCACTGGCACAATATACAGGCTTTTGCGTTCAGCGCAAGCTGCCATGCATGTGCAACGTTAAGCGAATCTTTCAAGAGCCACGAAGTCCTGCAATTAAATTGGCATTGTACAATAATAAATAATTAATAACTTCAAACTAAGGATTTGCCCGCCTTCCTGTATGGGACGCCGATTGTGAATTTATTATTTAGCATAAATGCTATCACTTATTATCTGACTTATTTGGTTGTATCCAATAACCAAATTAGCAGCCGACACGTAATTTGGTTATGTTTAAATAACCAAAACAACTACCTTCCCAAAATTTGATTATATTAAATAACCTAATAGTGGCCGAACGTAAATTAAATTTAGTTATATTAAATAACCACATTTTTGCCGAACGTAATTAAATTTAGTTATATTAAATAACCACATTTTTTCACACTTGGCGAACATTGATTAAATAAAGGAAAATATTTTTCACACTTGGCGAACATCGATGAAATAAAGAAAAACATTTTTTTCACGCTTAGCAATTTTTCCTGGCCCAGAGGTTAAATCACGTGATTACATCGTATCTTCTTAATTTGGTGCTCTTTTCGATATTCTCGACAACATTTCAATATGACGGGTAGCATGTAGAATTCTCAAAATCTGACCACAGCATTGACAGACGCTATAACAAGGGCGATGAGTTCAATATTGCAAGGGAGATAAAACAACGGCACAGCGGCAGCGCAGGTCAAGTGAAAACATTTATACATATTTTTAAATTTGAATAATTTTACGCCTCGATAAACTAATAAAATACAAATTAATGTAAAATATTGGAGAATATAAGAATTGAATTATTCTCCAATATTTCATATTAATTTGTATAACTTTTAAAAGTTATATTAATCGGTTTGTATAGGTAATCATGCGATGGCGAGTACAATTAGGGATTAATAGTACGAGTGATGTTTGGAAATTTTGCCAAAATTGGACGAGCCGCCGGGCTGTCGGCTGCTATAAATATGGTTATTTGATACACCCAAATAAATCAGATAAAAAGTGATAGCATTTACGCATCGGCGCCCCATAAACTTCTAAGACGAAATCAAGGGTGGATTTTCATCAAAAGGAGGGATGGAAACATTTCTAGTGGGGTGGTGCAAGCGGCACCACTGAGCGAGCTTCGGCAGGGGTTAGGCGTTAGGGATAAAGACTTTCACACACAATAGGAGGGGTGAAGCGAAATTTTGGTGGGGTTGAACACTTTATAAGAGGGGTTAGAGAGATTCTAGGGGGGGGGGGGGTTAACCCCCTAACCCCACATGCAGTAAATCTGCCCATGGACGAAAGAAATATATCGTTTTTGTAAAACCTGATCTTGATCAACTCTTTCATTGTCAAATGTTCTCCGATGATGATAAGAGAGTAGAACTAATTTGCAATTCATCTTACGACGTCAATCCGGCAACTTGTAGAGTGAAATAGCGGATAAAGATGAGGTTTTTTCCAACAAAAAAAAGATATATTACACATTTTCGTAAAATGACCCAAATATACACCTAACAAAAATCACACTTGGCGTATATAGTAGCACTTTAAAGTAGCCTTGGTCTTCTAATTATCCCGAATTTGAAAACGAACTTTCTGATTCTTCATATGCTAGAGACTATATCCACGCAAACGATGTTCAACTGTATTACTGACAAGCAATTTGAACAAAATCGTATACTTTGCGACTTTCACAAGAGGGCGATTTGTATCAATCATTTGTACATCATGATAACAAGACAATATACTATTGTCTATTGAGATAGACAAAACATTAATGGCTAACATTCGTTTCGCCGACATAAAAGAAAACAAATTCAGCAAAATCTATATTGAAATATCCAAGATAAAAAGGCTAAAATCAATGCGAAAATTTATAATATACGGTAAAATTTACGGGGAGTGTATGTTATATATACTGAAACAATTCTGATATTGAATGAACTCATGATATGATTATTAGCATTGGTCAACCCGCGAGGGTCAACCTCAATTTAATTCTCAGTGTACGACGCTACGTGACCTAATTATGCCAAAGTTAACATATACAAGACATGTGTCGTGATCTATATTTGATAAAAAAATTCTAAATTGCATGTGCTACTATATATATTTAATCTATATAATCGTTATCATAGCTTAAGAACATTTGTTTTTATCAATATTTTAACATTTATGGCTTATTGTAAAATAAAACGACCTTATATACTGGACTGCAGCTTAAATTATTATATCGTTACTCCCGAGGTTACTCCTTAATATATGCAAGTTTAGTTAGATATCTTGCTGATTTTATAATTAAAGTTGGACTTTCATGGCCATGGGGTATAACCACGACAACCTATAAGTATAACAATACTTGCAGTACATGCATGTGTTCTCCCAAATATCGACGTTTTCCTATAATGTCTATTAATGAAGTGATTCCATATTTGATATTTATATTCTATAGCAAAAACAAGTTCAATTTAACTTTAATTTCTTTATAACTTTCGCAGTATCTAGTGGCAGCAATGCTTATCCGGATGGCTGTTGTTGTCTTAGTTTACTCTATAGTAGTATAGACACTCAAATGCAGGTAATCATGAAAAAAGGTTTTTGTGGGAGTACTAAACTGATCAGGATAGATAATAAACCGAACATGGCTCTACTATTTTTCGCTATGCAATGTTATAATGAATCATTAATGCATGCGTATAGGCCGCGCCGTAGCTTGTTTACCATATTACGCCATTTTCCCTTTCTTAAAGCCTAACACTCACTACTCAGGTTAGTATATTTTGTCAGCTATACCTATAATCCATACAACTATAAAATGGCAGGTTCTATATGCTTAAACCAAGTTTAAGAAGTAATGGTTCAAGCAAAGTGTTATATATTTGATCATGTCGATTAAAACTGACGTTAAGTGTTTTCGAACAGGTCAAAGATGAAAGCTTCGGATTGATAGGGATACAACTACCTGAAAATAAATGAAATATCTGATAGGGATACAGTACAACTATATACCTGAAATACCATTTTTCAGGTAGTTGCATATATCCCTATATCAATCCGAAGCTTTCTTATAATTGGCACTATACCTGGCTATATATACACTGGCACAAACCGTCCAAGATTACCGTGTTTACTTATATACCCGTTTTGAAAACGACGTCAACATTCAGCTGCGACACGCTATGTTGCTATACGCGAACAGGTATTGCATTACGATTAGTAATGCGAAGAGCATAATATTATATCGAACATATACTGTATGTCCTGCTTCATATTTGAATACCGGGAAATGTTTCTGCCAGTGTGAATTAGTAAGAAAACACTATTCTTGAAAATTTTAATTTCATGTTGGATGTGACGTAATCATTAATTTGTTTTAATTTATTTGAACACTATACATGCATTATAACTGGTAGTGCACAATAATCATGTTGTGATTATCAGAGTGTTGTTTGACGCGCGGCCGCTCTGTCTTTAGTGAGGATGTAATAAGGAATACTTTGAACTTCAGTGCATGTGGTAAACCTACCTCGTCTGCGGTTGAGATACTTCATTTTCAATCAATATTTCTTTTTCACTGGAGATCGAGTTAAATCATGTTGAACTATTTGGGTATTATTTTCATCGTTGTTTTATCCTCTGGATATGCAATCGGAACAAGGTATGAATGATTTTGTACCATTTAAAGTACAGCATGAATCCATTACATACATAACAGCTATATAGTTCTTTCAATTTATTTTATTCCATATTATAAACAAATGAATTTTTTTGAAGTCAAACATTAGTTGAAATTGTTGCATGATAAAATTGCATTATATATCTGATTTTAATTTTGTATTTAGCGTCGTTCCAAGGGTTTATGTCCATATAAAATGTCTCCACTTATATGGACATGTAATTTATACATATTTCTTGAGATAACGGAAATTAGGGCTGAGAGGGAGGATCTCGCTATATAACAGAATACAGACAAGACTATTATTGCATATGTATAGGTCAGTGTTGTTGCCTGAAAAGCTTGAATCATGTTCCGTGTCTGTCAATATTTATAAACGTAAATTCGTGAATATGTATATGAATTTAAAGTATTCAATTGTGACACAAATGTCAAACAAAATGTCATTATACTGCATGTTTGCTGTCCGTATCAATTTCCTGCCACCTCTGAGCTATATATATATATATATATATATATATATATATATATATATATATATATATATATATATATATATATATATATATATATATATATATATATATATATATATATATATATATAAGCGAGAAATTATAAAAGAAACAACGAATAATTTTACGTTTCAAGTGTGAATTTTCATTTCATAATAACTGAAAAACAGCAGTTTTAAATATTGGCCTGATATATAGACTTGATAAATATGTTGCAAGTTTATGAGCCAAATAATAATAAGATTTTTACACTTACATTTTCATATATTTTTATGCTGTAAGCGGTGTGCGAAGCTTAGGATTTATTATGTAATGCATGTGTCATTGTAGTCTGTACAAATACCAAAACGCTAATGTAAATGTTATATTGAATAGTAAGCTATTTTTCAGTTGCCTTTTTCATTTATCAATATATATTTGTTCTTATCACACTGACCCATAACTTTTCAAAATTTGATGTTTTCTGATTGAAACGCGGATTTAAATTCTTTGTTTATGTTTGTTAATGTATTCGGCGTCTACCTGCAGAGCCGCTGGCTGTTATATCTCATAAGTCTGATAAGATATAAAAAAAATGGAAAATGTGAAGTCATCCTTTGCCTTATACTTAATTCTTAAATTGTTTATAGGCCTATATTTGAGTGAAAAGTTAAATTTAGAGCATGACGTACAGTTAAAAACAATAAAAGTAATTAATTTTATAGAATTGATGCGAGTATATAGCTGTGCATGAATGGCATTTTCCCCGCCATGAAGTGCAGCTGCTATTTTTTCACATCAAAGCTATCTATAAAACCACCGTTGTCGTTGATATATATACTGTAGCATGCATGCATCTCAGTAACATATACAGTAATCATTATTATCAATATTTTTAACATTATATATCAATATTATCAATAGCGGTAAATTTTATTTTAAAAGAGTTTTAAAGTTTTAAATTTTTTTAAAACTTTTATTAAAAAGACCAGAGTTATATGTATAATCTAGCTAATAGATATTTTTCGAGGAAAATATCTATATAATACTATATGTAACGCAACGGGAATTTTCTGGGGCAAATTCCCCTTTTGCTCCCCCTCCCTCTGGGCTCCCCTGTATTAAGACTCTTAATTCCATTTTCATTGTAGTATCATCCTTCTTACAAATAAAGTTGACTCTCTTTTAAACAAGACAAATTATGACGTACGTTTGAGACCAAATATGACAGGTATGAAAATATTTTAGTTTTATTTCTCATTTGAAAATACATACTTTCATCCATTGTTATATCCTATCCTGCAATATGTTATATGGTGCTGAGATTTGGGCAGTGAAGAAAAACAACAATTAGCTAGTGCATGGAGAAATTGCTGAAATGACGCATGCACTTAGGGAGTGTTCATTATTTATACCCGGGGTTGGTACCGAAGAGAAACTAATCGAAAAGAGAAAAAAACAACCACCCACCCTTTCGGTCAACCATTTTTTCCCCTACCCAACTATTGCATGACTTGGACTTTTATTTTACCCAACCCAATTTCAAAATTATACAAGTATTTTACATATATATTATTATACAAGCTAGGCCACTATAGTATAAACAGTACTATGCAAATTTTGAATGTCAAATATAATCATTTGTACCTTCACAAGTTCATATTATGTTCCCAAGCCTCCAATTCCTGCAGTCCTACCATATCTCGTTGTTATATAATCATAGGGGATGGGGAGATGGAGTTTAGTTTTCTATGTGGGGAATGAATGGATATTTCCTGGAATGACCCATTTTGTTAAATAAAGGATTTTCATATTTTGTTCAATTCAAGGTTTGTATTGAAAATAATTTACCCAACCATAGGCTTTGTTCAAAAAATATTTACCCAACCCTTCATACCCCAGAAAAATGGCCTACCCAACCCATTTCTCTTCGGTACCAACCCCGGGTATAAATAATGAACACTCCCTAATATGTGTATAATAACCTGGACAGCACGATAGCAAAGGAGACATCACCATATTTTTCTTCTTCAATATTTTGGATATTTTTGAAAGTGCGTCCACTGGAAGAGACGATCGAGGAAACAATATTGCCATAACCACATTTTATCGCTCAATGGAAAGAACAGAAAACGACACGCGGTAGAACGCGGAAACGCTGGATAGATTGAGTTGAGGAAACTGGAGTAGTTAGGCCTATCAAAATGGAGTTTGGTTATTTTCAGTAATTCTCCTTTTCCGCATTGAAACCCCCTAACTTATGCTGTGGCCCTATTGACTTTATCCTTACCAAATCTCGACCAACATATGCATCATTAACCTGCAACGCCTTGTCATGCAAGCATTTATTGCATCGTTTGTTTAACTGAATATATTCTTTGGGTTAATGGTAGTGTCTGTATTAGCTATAAACTATTAACTATATCATCATTCTGATATCTCCTCAAAGGAGACCACGCTTCCATTAACATGCGCTCTGTATATAGTTTCGACTCTTCGCTATATATTTATATTTTTTCCAGGGGGGCCAGTTGAAGTAAAAGTAAGGATGAAAATGTTATCTATCGATTCCATTGATACAGTCAATATGGTACGTCCAACACAAACTTACCTATATTTATGCTTGGAAATGGGGTGCCCTCCAAATCGAAGAGGATCACCTCAAACAAATGGACCATTTGCATTATAGTCTAAATTTTGGTCTAGACAAAAATTTCATCACAGCTTGAAAGAGCATCACAAAATTAGTAATATTCCAAAGTTTCGTTGCGAAATGTTGTAAAATGCGGATAATATAGCCTTGTGAAATTTGCAATTTTCAGTCATAGTTGTATTACAAACGGGAAATTGATGCCCCAACACCCGATTGCGCTGTCAATTTCCCGTGCGTAATACAAAATGACTGAAAACGGCAAACTTTGCAAGGCTATATTATCCGCATTTTACAACATTTCGCAACGAAACTTTGGAATATTACTAATTTTGTGATGCTCTTTCAAGCTGTGATGAAATTGTTGTCTAGACTTGTCTAGATCAAAATTTAGTCTATAATGCAAATGGTCCATTAAAACACGGAATCATATACGAAATTGAAGTTTCGACTGCACGTCCAAATGACACGTTCTGCGCTGGGAAGAAATTTGAATCATAAAATGTAGCAGAGACTGGAAGAACATTGAACTGTTCAATCATCATTTGATTATGCAAAGAGTTGCTCAAATAACGATTAGGTTACGTTTGCACTGTACCGGATAGCTTTCCGTAGCGACGTGAAAAAACACTATCCGTACCTTAGGAACGCTATTTTCAGAGTAATTATAGCAACTATAGAGGTGTGCATCGGATCGGATTGGACGTTTATAATCCGACAATTGCCTAATGTTTAAAATACGATCCGATTCCGAAATTGTCTAATTTAAATCCGATCCGAGTTTTGATAAAGAATTCCAATCCGATCCGACGAATTCTTTAATAAAATTAATTTCTCATTCACGTTGAAATATTTAACCAAATAAATATAAAAGCAAGAAATACATGTCAAGAAGCTGACAAACTGACGTCCAATTGTATCAAACGAATAATGCAGCGGCCACCGCGATGATGCTTTGATAAATGCATGGATAACTAGAGGGCACTCAGAGACTGCATACCTCCGCCTACGCGCAAAATATTGAAGTAATCTATTGTTATTAGAATTTGAATGGCTGGTGCATATATTATGCACGTCCTAATTACGCATTCAGTATAAGTTTTATTTAATTGACCGGGAAAAGCAAAACAAACTTTTGTTATTTCTCATTCAATTTTTAACCAAATTCAACCAAATTTTAATCAGTTCTTCCTTAGCCGATGGGAAATGCACTCACAAAATTTCGTACGGATATGTTTGGTATTTCTTGAGTTATCGTGCTCACAGACAAACACACACACACACACACACACACACACACACACACACACACACATACAAACCCAGATGATTACATAACCTCCTGGCGGAGGTAATTAATTCTTGCGATAATGCGTGGATAATTAATTCATTTTATTTCGGATATCGAAGTCCGATCCGATCCGACTACGAAACAACTTTATCAATCCGATCCGATATGAATATTTTGGTTCCGAAATCCGAACGAATCCGATCGGATCGGATTCGGATCGGTTTCGGATTTGCACACCTCTAATAGCAACGAAGAGATGTTGTTTCGCTCAGCTTCTGAAAGTTGTACTTTTTTTTACTATTGGTACTTTTTTCGCTCCGCTACGGAAAGCTATATATCCGTTATAGTGTAAACGTAGCCTTATAGTTTCCGCACGGTTGATTCGCTTTAAATTAGAAAATATATTCCCTCAGGTGTACCTTTCTTTATTTTGCTTTACACAGAAGACAAAATATGCTATAATAAAAAAATGATTTAATCTTTATTCTGCATGTTGTGGCGATAAGTGAAACACAAATAATGACGTGCAGTCGAAACTCCGAAAGTTAAACCTTTCTAAAATTTATATAATTCATCCTAATTTATAATTAAATTATTATAAATAATAATAATTTAATGCCCAAAGCATTCGCGTATCAAAATTTAAAGCTATGGTACTTTCTATACGGAATCATTTGCATAAATTTCATTTTCACAAATTTCATGCAATTATAAGTTCCGAGAATGTCGTATTGGACCGAGTAAACATGGCGGCATTCTGGTCAGCTGGATGAAATTTGAGGAAGATATTATGCAAATAAATTCGGTATAGAAGAGTATTTAACAATAGAGACAAGACGCACTTGTCCTACAACTCGTGCATCAACAACATCTTCAATGCCTTTCAAATGAATACATATCAAGTGAAAAAGTTACACGATCCGTTATTTCTAGATAGAATTTTTCCTTGTTTTCGACTTCAATGACTCCAAATACTAATGAACATGTTATTCCTATACAGAACATTTTTCCTTGGACGTATGTAGCGTACTATAGCTTCGATGCTTTCTAATTCCGTTGCAACCTATTGTGAAAATGTTATCAATTAAGGCTTATTTCTAGACAGGATTTTTCTTGGATATATTTTTCAGATTATTGCCTTCTCGCTGCAACCTGTTACGAACACGTTTCCCTTTATTTCTATACAGAATTTTTCCTTGGATGTATTGCTGACTTCAGTACCTCCCAATGCTATTTACATGCAACTTATAGTGAACATGTTTACCCGTGTATTTCAATATAGGATTTTTCCCTGGATGTATTTCTGACTCAACAATGGGTTGATGAACGACTAGACCATGGCACGAGTAATACCATCACAGTGAACTATAAAGATCTGGACAAGATCTGGTTACCAGACACATATTTTGTCAATGCTAAAGACAGTTCTTTTCATTTTGTTACTAAAGAAAACAAGCTAGTACAGATCGGCCCTAACGGGCTTATCAGCTACAGAATAAGGTTAGTTTCGTTTAATAATTTAAGAATTTATATACCTTTGTACGATGCTAAAGAAACGACTATTGCACTCTTGCAAAAATAACACATTAAACGACGTTTTCATTATACGTTTACGAACGGGTTTTACTTGAATTACAAAATAGTCAGCTGTCGAGTTAAACACCTGTTTTTGAAGACTCGAACATTCTAAACAGTGTAAGATTCTCTGGAGTAAGCCCTAGCGGTGAATGTAGGTCTGTCATATTTTGCTTTGGGTGTGGTTGAGGTCAATTGGGAAAGGGTACGGCTCGAAGATTTGTTATCTGATAAATCACAGTTCAGAGAAACCACAATGCTATTTGATGGCTCATTTAACGACAACAAAAAAAAACTTAAAACGTTATAATCCCTGAGCATGCGCGTAGCGAGGGTATACTAATTCCGTTCGACTATTGACACCCGAGAAAAGGAGAGCTAGCGGATTGAAAAGGGCCATTATGGTTCATGGGTGGACCTCACACTGATCTCAAAAATATGGCAAATGTCAATCATGGAATTGAGCATCAACGTGAAACCCTAAAGTAAAAGTCGTTTAATGGGACGAGCACGAAGCAGGCAAACAGTTTATATACGTTTTTACATCCTAACACTGAATAGAGGCAATATATTGAAGGAAATCATATAAAGTTTGGCAAGTTTGTTTTAAATGTTGATGCATGTCTGCGTATTTAAATTACTGAAATTAAAATATAATTCTTGTGTAGGTTTAAGTTTCATAACTTACTGTTGCCTATTCTTATTATTTTATACGAGACCAAAGTTATTTTCGTGAGAGAATTGAATAAACGATAAAAAACAGTTAGTTCTATGAACATTTCAAAACTTTTTTAATACGAAGTGTTATAGGCTGAATTTTACATCAAATGGAAGCTTATATATTACGCATATAATAACATACTGACCATAAATATTTTGGAAATTAAATATTTTGTATTCAAAAATGATAATTTTTGAACTTTTAATACAATTTTGTACAAAAAATAGAAAAAGAATATTAAAACGATCGTGTTACCATGACAATCAGTTGCAATACTTCATGTCTGGAAAACATAGTCGTTTGTGTAGCAAGGCGAGGGGTTTCTGTATGAATGTTTTTCTATAGTACGTTATAGTCATACCTGATATAATGAAACGTTTCTTAATTCTCCACACGTTATGAAGTTGGTAACCAAAATTGTATAGATCTCTCTTCTCTTATAGGATAAGCTTGAAAGCTGCTTGCCAGATGGATTTGCGATTGTTCCCTATGGATAAACAGATATGTCCATTGTTACTCGAAAGTTGTAAGTTAAATTAAACGCAATTTCTCATTACGAAACCTTTGATTTCTTGGAAAATAAACGCCAAATGGATTATTCTATATTTTATGTATTACCATTTAAGATCGAAACAATTCTTCCAAACGAAATTATAGTCCTTTGGAATTTGCAAAAGAACCAAAACCTGGCCAGGCTTGTTTGCTAAATCTATCATAAACCTCGGTATATTTTTATTAAGATTTAATTTTTCAAAGGGAATACATGGCATATATAATAAGATATTAATATCTAAACTTATAATTTGTAAAACTGTTAGTCTTGAAGTATTCTATAAGTGGGAGTCATTACTTAATTGGTTGAAATTGATTTGTGGAGATAAAAGAATGACAGACATTTTTCGAATCGGTCTATAGGAGTATAGCTTTGTTGAAATGTTTGAACGTTCAAACGAACGCCTGGCTTGCATGGTTGTGCTAACCCGCACGCACCATTATCTTCTAAAGTCCGTTCATAGCATTCCAAACATCGTGCAATATTGTTGTCCAACAGTGCTGGAAGAAACTTTAGCTAATATTTTGAATAAAGTCAAACCTGACCCAACATCTTCCAAGATCAGTCAACATTGCCAAACAATTGAAACAGACCTAATGTACCGATCAATTTGAAACTTCAACATCCCCCCGGGCATATCCCGGGAATTTGACTTCAAGTCTTCTCCACGGAGTAGGGAATTTGACGTTCTAAGTCTTCCATGTGGTGGGGGCATTTGATAACGTGGTGCGGAATTTGAGTCTTAAAATTCTTAAAATTTTGCCAGTTTTCGCGTGCTTCCTGCATGCACAGAGAATACTTCGCATTGGCGGCAAATACAGTTTTCTCTGATTTCGAGGGAAACGGCCTCAATTTTGTGAAAAACTGGCTCAAAGAAATGGGCATGGAAAATCTATGTGCTTCATTTGAAGGTATGTACTCGGTGCTTCCATTTTGAAGGAAATTTCCTTTTTGAAGGAAATTTTAAATAGTTGAAGGAAATTATAAGGAAATTCGAATCTGAAGGAAATTTGAAGGAAATTTCGGAAGATTGAAGGAAATTGCCTTATTTCTAAAAAATCCTAAGAATACGAAGAATACGGCAATTTCCAAGGAAATGCGCTTCAAAATATGCTGAAAATCCTGTTCTGCGAGATGCAAAATCTGAAAATGTTCTGGGGGAGGACCCCCAGGTTATTCCCTTTCGTGTTAATCTAGGTGAACTCTTCGTCTCTCCCCTTTGATAATTCAGCTCCTGCAACGTCCATGTTCCTTCTAGAACAAGAAATACCCCGTTATTCGAGATAAATTACTACAAAATCAGTTTTAAATTAGGTAAAATTCAATAATTTTTATTGCAAGGAAATTTTTCAAAAATAAGGAAATTTCGAACGGGTGGGAGGAAATTATGTTTTTTGAAAATGGAAGCACTGTATGTACTACAAAATTGTGTAAAACTGTTAAATTTCCACAAGGTTTCCAAACTTTTTAAGTGAATTTCGCTATCTTGTCGAAAAACATTTCCGTATATTTTGCACTTTTTGTATTTACTGTTTCATAATTATCGTACGAAGTTGGGGCATTTGAACGCTTAATTTCTTGTTACAGTGGGGCATTTTAAGACATTTTTTGCACAGGGGGTGGAGAATTTGATCAGTCAAATTTCAAAAAGTTCAAATTCCCTTGGTCGGCCCGGGGGGGGCATGTTGAAGTTTCGAATTCATCGATACATAATGATGTTGCATCCAAAATTGTTGTATGATATTGGAATGCTGTCTGTTGTTTGGATGCTATGTTAATAAATAACTAAATGCGAAAATGTTTCCTCGATAATTAATTATAGATGGTTATCACAATAAGAAAGTTGATTACAGGTGGGCTGTTGATAATGGAGAATCATTTGTTGACACAGAAATGACCAAACTACCTCAATTCACTCTGACAGCTGTTAATCTTTCTTCAAAGAAAAATGTATATTATGCCGGTAGGTTTAATAGACACTCTGAATTTGCGCACAAAACAATGAACTGAAGGCTTACGATGTGACTCCATTTAAGTTATATATAGTAATTATGATTGTTTCGTTATTAGGTAACTACACATGTCTATCAATCTCATTTAAATTTGAGAGAATGTACAGCTACTTTCTCATTCATGTGTATGGACCTTGTGCTTTGATTGTGATGATGTCTTGGTTATCCTTTCTTATCCCAAGAAATCATACACCTGCCCGGATATCCCTAGGAATCACTGCTCTACTCACTACAGTCACTGTGCTGAATATGTCTAACAATAGCATGCCAAAGGTATGTAATCCATAAGAAATGTTGTTATGCAATATATAATAAACGAGAAAGCGTCTATTGCCAGCGTATTATGTGTGTTGAAAAACGAAACCCTACAGTAGCCGAATATTTTACGTACTTTAATTGGTGTGCATATATTATACCTGAATGGTTGCTATATGAACTCATAAACTTGAATTAGCTACGAATAAAATACATGCATGCAATTGTATTTAAAAAATTGGTCAGCTTCCATTGCTATTCAGCATAATTCAGCATTCATTCAAACATTAAAGTCTCCAGCTCATGATACAAATAGTTTAACTATGTTCTATATTCTTGCAAAGCCTGTGCTACCTTGATAATTTATTTTACCCTGGAAGCAGGAAAAATGGAAAATATATATAGTTGCCCCAATTTATAAAGTTCATTGTTTGGATATACAAGGATTTAAACAAGCTGACACGTGCCAACATCAAGCATTGTTAACACCAACGTTCTCGTTGTAGGTCAACTACATCAAGGCGCTGGATAAATATTTAATCGGTTGTTTCATGTTTGTATTTTCTGTTCTGGCTGAATATTCACTCATTCTCACGATTACTGGAAAGATAAGAAAACGAAAACTCCGGGAAGAACAGGTAATCTATTCAATCATGCATTAGATGAAAAAAAACCGTAGAAATTCCGGTCATTCCAAAAAGTGAAAATGGAAAAGCATATTTGGTTAGTCCACGCAAAATTACCGGATTGCCTGAAAAGGTTGTTCTCTTTCCCCGGATGGAAATGTTTTATACGGACATCTAAGTTTCATTTACACCTTACGATTGTTTTATTACCAGAGCATTAACATACAATTTTATGACTTCCAGGCTCAGACCTGTTTTGTGTAAATCCGAACGGGATTTTCCAATCAAAATTTTGCGTTCCATTTGCACGGTTTCAGACCAGGCGAGTTGATGGTAAACAACTATGTTTTTAAATATTGAGGACTGGAACTAAGATTCGCAACAAGTGAGAATCACTCCTAAACCCAATACCACCACTGAAACGAATGAGGAAATCTGGACTGTTCAAGGAAGCCTCTTATGGAGAATATTAGATAGAAGGCGTTCCCAATCAAAAGCGATGTCCATGCGCAGTGTTTTCAATAAGAGGCGGTTACAGGCGGTTACCGGCGGTTTACCGCCGCCTATTTCGCCTCTGACAGCCGATTATTTTTTCGTTTACTGTACGGTAATTTTCTAGCGACATTAGATTGCATTATTTTATTGAAAATAGTATAAAGCAAGTCACTATATAGGGATCCAAGGATATAGTGTAAAGTTTCAAATTGAAAAAGACACGACACGGCAAGAACTGTATAACGTATCGCCGCGACAACCTAGAACAGTAAGGCATGGGCTAAAGCAGTCATAGGCTAGAGTAGGCACATTACTAAAAAATGTGGATTAGAACAACATTTTTAGGGGATAAACAATTCATTATCACTCCCTTCGTAACTCGCTTATTAAATGTTGAATTGCAAGAGCTCTTATTTGGGCATGACGACTTTCTGTTTTGTAAAGTTGATGGCTTACACTACGAAATACACAGTTACCATGATCCTCTTGGAAAGCATACTCATGTATGTCTTTTCAAAAATGGACTTGAAGCCGTACTATTACCTGTAGACACTAATCAGTATACAGATGAGTAATATTAAAAGTTAATATTACTAAGAGTAAGAGCAACATATTATTACAAAAGTTTAAGGTGGGGAGAAGAAAGAAGTCCAAATCAGTTTTAATTTTATCCGAGCAGATTGCTTTTTACTGACTAAACCTAAGAAAGGATTGAAATTTGGCTTTCACTTGAAATTTTTGAACGCAGACGCCTATTTTTGAAATGCAGCCTGCTATGATGATTATTATTGAAAACACTGCATGCGCAAAGTCGAAATCATCTCACGACCTCAAAATTTGCGACAATCCTTATTTCTGCGAAATATTATGCAGACATCCTATTGTGATCGAACAAAACTAGCAGTCTAGATTTGCTAATAAAGAGAATTCTTATATTAGACCAGTTATTTCGAACATAGGCCTGCCATGGCCGACTGACACTAGTGCTAAGTTCTTTGTAAGATTGCATGGCGATGAAACATATAATATTTTTTGTTTGTGGAAACACCACGTAAATTTATTACTGCAAAGCTTTCGATCCGTAAGCCCGGATCCTCATCAGTGCTAATAATATGAAATATTATTAGCACTGATGAGGATCCGGGTTTACGGATCGAAAGCTTTGCAGTAATATAAATTTACGTGGTGTTTCCAAAACGTATTATATGACACTAGTACGTTGTGAATTATGTTATCTGTTAAAACATTCCATCAAATTATTTCCAATCATCCTCTAATTAACGCAGGGACACCAACTAGCAAACAACTCCAATGAACAGACGCTGATTAGAGTTTCTAAACGACGACATTATATTCCATTATGTTATCCCTACATCAAGCGAACACCTCCAGACATTTAAAACGTTCCCCATTGATTTCGGCTTGTTAGAGGTTTGACTGTAGGTTGATAACTGATTTAAAAGCTAACCTTTCGAATTAACCAATGTATTAATTGTTCTCCAGTTGAGTCATGCCGTTTCTCATTTCTAGAAACAGAGCAAACATGAAGAATCAGATACAGACGATACGGAGATGCCAACATACAGACCGCTCAGTGACTATGTTGATAAAGACACAACTAAACAATACTACAACAGCATGGAGGGTATCAATAAAAAAGACTGGAGAAAAATCATAGCAGAAACAATATTTACTGACGATTTCTTGACAAAAATTGACGAGTATGCGAGAATTGCTTTTCCTGTCAGTTTCGCTCTATTCAATGCGCTTTATTTTGGCACGTATCTTTAGGAATATCTTTACGATGTATACAGGGTGTATAAAACAAATGTACACCCTTTCAAATTAGCCATAACCTTTTAAATATTCGTTGCTCTGCAGTAAGCTGGCCCATTTTATATCTTAGGGCCTGTTCATATGGGCAAAAGTTATCCCAGTTAACGAGAGAACTTTTCGACTAGCCAAATACTTTTGTTCTGTTCATATGGAGAAATATTATCCCACATACCGGGAAAAGGTTCCGGCTGTGACGTTGCACTGAACATCAATTGAATTGAAAAGTTGCTGACACGACAAAAAGTTATCCCGCTAAGCGGGAAAGTTGTGTTCATATGGAGAAAACATTATCCCGGTCACCGAGATCTCACCTGTCAACAAGCGAGATCTCGGTACACGGGAAAACTTTTCGTCTCATATGAACGCAATGAAACTTTTCATATTATTTTCGTAACAAGGCGAGATCTCGCTCGTAAACTTGTCGAAAAGTTTTCTCGCTAACCGGGATAACTTCTGCCCATATGAACAGGCTCTTATGCAGACTTGAATAATACTTAAGCCAGTTTTCCACTTCAACCATATCGTATCGAAACGTAGCGTATTTCTTTGTTTCCTGACCACTAGAGTAGAACTAATGACTTCGACACAAAAGAAAATGCTACGGTACGTTACGATTGAAGTGGAAAACCGGCTTTACTTTAAACATTTTTCTTTGAGTTGTGTATTTGTTCATACAAATAGAAGTTATCCTAAATTCCCATGTGCAGAAGATCTTGTGTTTTCACGCATTCATTAATTCGAGAAATTATACGGCTGTCAAATTACTACAATAGATTACGGTTAATTTGAATTTGAAAGGGAGTACATTTTTTATATACACCCTGTATTGTATCTAACCTCCTCCGCAGGCAACTCTGCAGTTCTGCAACGTTAAATTATGTTCTCAAAAACTCTTAATTAGCCGTTTTCACATTAGAAGACGGACAAGTCGTCTAGACGAACAAATCGTCTCAAAATCGTCTTTTAGTCGGACAAATCATCAGATGTGAAAACGTGTCGGACAAAATTTTAGACGAACAAGTCGTCTGAATTTGTTCGACTACTTGTCCGTCTGTGAAGACGATTTTTGAGAGACGATTTGTTCGTCTAGACGACTTGTCCGTCTCTAATGTGAAAACGGCTATTCACATCAATAACTATAAACGATTTATCAGGAACGTAGGAAATGCGATATAATAAGAAACTGAGTAAATGAAATATCCACAAGTCTCCTTATTTTCTCGCCCCAGGCCTGTTTATTTCTTGTTTATTTTCATATCGTATTTCCTTGTATTTCCTATACGTTCCTGATAAATCTTTTATTGCTATTGATATATGAATTACGATTTAAGAACATTATTTAACTACAGAGTTGCCTGCGGATGAAGCTGGTATTGAAAAGTATACTATCGTATAAGAATTACTTTGTGTAAGTTAATGATTTCGTCATTAACACGAATGGCTATGTGGTTTGCATCACAGTCACATGAAACAACAGCCATTTGACAAGTTGAAGGGGCAATTTTTTCTACGTCGTGTATTTGGGATGAAAAGGTTGAAAACCTTATATCGTTGTGGCGTACGTCTCAAAATTATTTTGTGTTAGTCTTATTTTCTGATTTATAAAGTAAGTTACATTTTCAAATGCATCTGCATGTAAGGCTCAAAAATTGTAAATTCACATACAATACAACCTTCCAGAAACTACGTCACTTTGGCTATAGAGCCTCGTTTTCGTGATTGATATATTAGGCTTTGACTAATGGTACATACACGAAAACGAGGCTATATGGCCGAAGTGACGTACTTTCTGGAAAGGTGTATTATCAATGATGCTTTAAAATTTGCGCCATATTTACAGAACATAGGCAAAACTTACTGGGGTCGGTTGTTTCGTGCTCATCTCAAGGCGGCCAGCATCCATGACCATGGTAAACTGTATCGGTGTCTTTATCTGCAAGAACAACTAATTTAAGTAGAAGTGCAAATTTATTTGAATAAATAAATATTGATAGAAATAATAGAGCACTTTTATACAAACCATAAATAAAAATGTCTACTGACCTTCACAAATGGACGTTTAGTAATTCCATTATATAGTTGCATGGCATTAGCAAGAAACATTGGTTGCGTATTACTGAATGCAGAAAATTAATGGCAGTGATGCATTAGAGTAGTACATTTCAGCAAACATTACTGTGGGATATACGAGCACAGAGTAATTGTAAAAGTAACGAATTTACACTAAAGTAAAACTGTATACAAACGAATCACCGCCGTTTTAAGATTATCTGCAAAAACAATGTTTTCGACAAAATGTCACTATATTTATTACATTTAATAATAAGGAATGGATAACGTTATTTAAAAACCGCACTGTGATTTCAAGCGCCTAAGTTCAGAATCCTCATGCATCGATCTTATGTTCTGCACAGTACGCACAAGTAGAGATGAGATACTAAATTCCTTAGAAAGTATCAATTACTCAATTGCTATAAACTGTACAATACACATGGATATAAGTAAGGCTAGTAAATCCCTTAAGGGTATCACAGTCACTAAATGGCGGATACTGAGTGCTTTACAAAATATTAGTTACTTGACGGAGGGTGTTGACTGCCTGGTGATGACATGAAACCTGGAGGATAGGCAGTTGAATCTGGGAAACGTTGAGGATTATATGCTGGAGGTTGACCGGGAGGGCCGGAGAACGACTGTGGATAATTAGGCATAGGAGGACGGTTAGGCATAGAACTGTTGGGTGGCATACCAGAACGTTGACCACCATATTGCATCCCAGACATACCAGATGGTAATGATGATTGATTCATTGGATAACCAGCAGATGATGGTACTTGGCTTGGTGGTGTTGAATACATGCCAGGTGAAGGCATTAATGGTCTGTTAACATTACTAGAGACCACACCAGGGTAGTTTGGTGATGACATATACATAGGTAGTGAAGATGGTGTCGAGGCCGCCATTGAACCCGGATGTGATGTCGTTACCCCGGGTGATTGATCACGCGGTGACGTAGCCATACGAATATTGGTCCCCGGTGAACTGCTCCTACCCAGGGACGTTTGTCCCCGAGAGGTTTGCATACGTTGTGCACCCATTTGAGGTTGGTTGATATGTTTAGACTGAAGTTGAGTTGATGGTTGTTGTTGTGGTAGTTGTTGTTTTGGTAAGATTGGTTGTTGGTGAAACATAGCTTGACGCTGCTGCTGCTGTTGTTGTTGTTGTTGTTGTTGTTGTTGTTGTTGTTGTTGTTGTTGTTGTTGTTGTTGTTGTTGCAACTGTTGCTGGAACTTTTGTATCATAACAGCTTGTTTCTGCTGATGAATTTGCATTTGCTGTAGTTGCTGTGCTGGTAATTGTTGTTGCTGTAACTGTTGTTGTTGTTGCTGCTGCTGTAGCTGTTGTATTGACTGGGGTTGTTGTTGTTGTTGTTGTTGTTGCATTGCCTGAGGTTGCTGCTGTTGCGAGGTAGGTGGAGGAGTCTGTTGTTGTTGCTGTTGTGGTGGTGGTTGTTGTAACTGCTGAGGGTTAGTCGATGGTTGTGTTGATATATCACATTGTTGTTCCCCAGGTTGCTTCACCTGTTGCGTGACAGTTGCAGCAGATGGTGATGATACTAACGTGGTGTTAGGTGTGGTTCTATCTTGAGAACCAACTGACGATGGTGAAGGACCAACAGACGGAGGGTTAGAACCAGGCGTTTGACCTGCACTTTCAACTACAAAGAAGGAGATAAAACACAGATAAACCCGACAGCTATGGTTACGTTTTAATAGTCTCATATGGCCCCAATTGAACGATGTTATATACTGTATATAGTGTAATTCACATTTGGTACAAAGTTTAAGAACTCAGGAAAAAGTGATGTTAAAATTCCCGAAGTTCCACTCCCATGTTTCCCATTTCACACTTGCACCATATCGAAATAACATCGTTTCATGTGGCCGTGTACTTTAGGGGTCTATCCTATCCACAATTCCCCGAAAACATAAAATCTCGTATATTCCCTTGCCCACGAACACGACTTTCGTATATAATGAAATTAGAGATAACGTTTCAACGCTACCTGAAAGTTACGAAATAGTGAAACAATAATGTCAATTTTGTTTTCTAACAAGTAGCACAAGTTGCATGTAAAAAGATGTGTAAAATATGTTTGTACCTGGGGTGGGAACTCTTGCAGGTTGATTTGACATTGGTTGTACAGGTTGAGGAGAGTCACCCGCCGCGGATACCTGTGGGGCCTGGGGTTGAGCTGACTCTGAGCCAGCAGGTGATGCAGCGGTCACATGGCTAGTACGTGCTCTCATCTCAGCCAGTTTTAGTTGTTCTTGGTGAAATTGTTGTTTTTCCACCAGAAGTTGTTGACGTTGATACTCTAACTGAGAGGTATTAAAAAAACGAGTACAAAATTAATAAGAATAATTGCTGTAAAAAAATAGCATTCGCTAGAAACTAGTAAACTTTCACGTAACCGAGCTTAACATTTAAACACCTTCGTAGTACATAAAAATATTTCGACGTAATACATAGAGCTTTGCGACAAAGTAAGGATGGTAGTTGGAATGTCAGTTTTTTTCAGGATTTTTTGCTGGGTCCGTTTTTGCACAGAATATTGAGTTTACCTATACAATAGGGAATCTGGGGGCATCTCTAACCTATGTAATTTTAATGTGGTTAAACGAAGATTTAAGCGAAGTTAACGGCAGATGTATCATGCCTGCGACCTAGCAGCGGGGAGTCCCTGACGTCACTTTGCAATTCTCGCGCATCTGTCACTTTGCAACTGCACCATGCATGCCACGTGGTTTGGCCTGGTCGTACCTTTTTGCGCCGAATGATTAACTTGCTTTGCGTTTTTCGCCACCCGCTCCACCCCATCCGTCTTAATGTGGAGTTTCGATCAGATTTGCAGTGGTGGATCCAGTTCATTGAGGACATTCAGGAGTGGAATGGTACAAACGTTTTCCTATTACCTGCACTCCTGCCATTAGCCGATCTGGTGATAACATCGGATGCCGCGGGTTCCATTGGATATGGCGCCGTATACCATCAACATTGGTTCAATCATGTGTGGTCACTAGCACAAATGCCGCTGTCTATCGCCTACAAGGAATTTTTGCCTGTCGTAATAGCTGCTCACTTGTGGGGTATCCAATGGGCCAATCGACGCGTGTGCTTTCAGTTAGATAATACTTCTGTAGTCCATATTTTGAACTCGCGCACTTCCCGTGACACCCACATAATGGCCTTGCTGCGTTCTCTGCTAGGGGTGGCGACCCGTTATAATTTTACATTTGCGGTGCGTCATATCCCAGGCGTGGCTAATCTCATCGCTGATGCACTCTCTCGTTTCAATTGGCAGGTGTTTCGTCAGCTAGCCCCCAATTGCTCATCTACCAACGCCTCTTCCAGCAACCCTACTGCATCAGCTGTCGCCACGGACCTAGAAACCCAATGCCATAGTTTTCTTCGTCACGGTTCAGCGTCGTCAACCCATAAAACCTACGCTTCTGCCCAACGGTCATTTCTGCAATTTTGTCAATCAGAAAATCGCTTGAACTCGAATGGGTCGCCTCTCCCGTCGGGTGAATGGACCCTTTGCCTTTTCGCTACGTGGTTGGCGAACAACTTGAAACCTGCGTCCATAAAAGTCTACCTGTCAGCCGTCCGAGCACTCCATATCGAACATGGTTATCCTGATCCCTTAATGGGCTATCTGCGTTTACAGCGTGTGGCAAAGGGCATCAAACGTTGCAAAGGTGGCTCTCAAGATAAGCGTCTTCCAATTACACCGGACATTCTTAGCGCGATCTATCGCTGCTTGGACTTCGCGGTTTACGACGACGTTTTGTTTTGGGCCTCTTGTTGTCTGGCATATTTTTGTTTCTTGTGATCATCCGAGCTTACTGTACCTCATGGCACCTCCTATTCTCCATCGCTTCATTTATCCCATCTAGATGTTGCCTTTGACCGAAGAGTCGATCCGTCTTGTCTTCAAGTGTTTATCAAAGTGCACTCTAACTCTGGGTCGTTCTCCCTTGTGTCCGGTCGAATCGCTACTCAGCTACTTGGAGATCCAGGAAGGTGCCGACGGCCCTCTCTTCGTCCATTCTAATGGCGCCCCCCTGACACGTACAATTTTTACAGAGCGTCTGCGCCGACTGCTGAGCCAGGCTGGTATAACTGGTCATTTTGGAAGTCATAGTTTCCGGATTGGCGCTGCTACTACATACAGCAGGCCTGGCTGGCGTTCCCGAGCATATGATCCAGACTTTAGGACGATGGAGCAGTTCAGCTTACCTGGCATACATACGAACGCCGCGTAATTTATTAGCCAGTGTAATTTACCTAAGGTGTCATGTTAAAATGAATAAAAATCTTATGCTAGTCTGGCTTGTGTTGGTTTGTTCTTAACCCGACCTTCCGTTAATCCCCTTCCCCCCATGGTAGGTGCTGGTGGTACGTTGCGGTCAGTCCATGGAGTCAAGTGTCCATGGCAATTTGCCTTGGCACTACCTCTTCAAGTACATAAGGGTGGTTATGTACCTGAAGGAAATGACCGTTTCTGGTGGTCTGCCTTGGCAGAATTGTCATGGCAAACTCCTAATGCTACCATAATTAGCCTTATTATTACGTTTTTTTGCTGTTTTGCCATAGCTGTTTTGCCATAGCTGTTTGCCATTGCTGTTTGCCATAAATGTTTGCCAGTGTTTTGCCTTATGTTTGCCATTGCGGTCATTTGCCTGACAAGGCTAGATCGCCGACTAGCCTTGGCCACCAACGGCACCTACCTCCAAACTCAAATACTCTGCCGTTAGAAAGATTTAAATGGACCGGACTGCATGCAATGCTTTGCAGATGAGATACGACATGTGTGTTCATGTTCTTGTTCATGGTTTTCCAGGCTGCGTTTTTTTCTTACTTTGCTGAGTTGCCCAGTAAAAACTGCACTTAGACTTTCGATAACATGATTGAGTTTCAAAACTCAATTCAGTTCCAATTTATTTAAAAGTTGACACTCCCTCTTTTTTATAAAGGGTAATAAATTTCATACTCACTGCTTCTCGTTCCCTGTCCATAATCGTTTCAAGTTCCTCAAAATGTCGAAGTTTAATTTCCAACTTCTTCATCTGAGTTTCGACAAGTAAAGCAACCAGCGATTTGATCTTACGTTCTTCAACTTGGGCTAAATGCTGATAGTCAAAAACACAATCCATTAATCGTGGAATAAATCAACCAAGAAACCCAGCAATCAACAATCAATGTGTTGCACAATTAAATCCATTAACGGACAAAATCCGACGAATCATATGAGCTAGAGCAAATAGAGCTGTAATACATCAATAACAACATTGTAAATTAATCAAAACAACGTATTTATTGTATTTCTCACTGATTGGTGAGCGGATTTCCCAATAGGCTATTGCTCAGTTTATAGGGATCCGAGGTACTGTACCTTAACGTCCTTATCCGAGAGGACGCGAAAGTCTAACAATTTACTGATGTCAATGAAAAGGTAGCACTTTTTTGTCAATTATCTTAAGACCTTGAGTAGAGGTCAGACCAAGAATTGAACCTGGGTCTCCCAGCTTGCGTGATGACCACGGCACCACAAGTGCTGGTTTCGACACCACTTGCAGCAGATACACAATATAGTAGTACATTCAATACGTTCTTAAAGTCTCTGAAGATGTATAATAAACTAAGCTACATAACACGTTTTTTCGACCATGAAAGCCTGAAAGTTTTTTAATTAAGCAAAATAGAGCTAAATTCCAGTCAAATGACGTTTGAGGATTAACAATTGCAGCAACAAAAGGGCCAGAATATGTCGTACCCCAGAACGTCACGAACTGTCATCCACTGTTTTGGGTTGAAAGTTACAGTAAATGTACACACCTTTGATTTAACGGCGGCGGCAGCCAAAGCAGCAGCAGCTGCAGTCGCCATGTTTTCTTTATTGATTTTTCGATTATCTGCAGCGTTTGTTTTCGTTTTTAATTCGGATGTGTTCTCCTACAACGTGAAACGGTACAAAATGATAAAAATTTAATTCATGGTCTTATATATATATTGAGCATTCTATTTTGTCCCCGAGCCAACGGTTGCGAAGAGCCGTGCGAGGGTACTAATTCTACCCGGCTATTTACCCCCGGGGAAAGGGAAGCATTAGCGAAGTCTAACGTTCATCAATGATAGCGGCCGTGGGCACAAATACTACACAGAAGTCCATCTCCATTGTTTCTTGCGTAAGCTCTATTCGTCATGATTCGTTATTCAGCAAGTACCGTAAACAGAAGCAGTCACCCCCCTGGACGTGCGCCATTTTGAGTATTTCCAGGGGGGACTGCTTCTGTTTAGAGTACTTGCTGAGTGACGAATCATTACCAGATGATCTTGATACGCGGAAAAGTACTGGCACTAGTTGTCAAATAGAAATCCATTTTATGATTAAAACAACTGAATATCTCCTGTAATATACTTTATTTCGATTCCATATTTTTGTCAGAGCTATAGTTCTCATAACCAAACATAATTACAAAATTTCAACTAGTTTCATAAAGAATAACGAAAGATATAATTGACTGAATACATCAAAATGGATTTCTATTCGGACAACCCTTTCTGAGCGCTGATTGGCTAAAATACGAACACGAGATCACCTGGTACGAATAGAGCTTACGCAAAAAAACAATGGAGATGAACTTCTGTGTAGTCATAGGGAGCTTAAGTATGTAGGACGGCAACACGACCACGGCAACCAATACAATGAGTCAATAAAAAGAAATAAATAATTAAAGTCTCGGGGGAGTTTCAGACGTCAGTCGTCGCTCTGTTTACAATGGCAAATCACAGATTTTCACGTCTTTTATACAACGCCTCCATTCCAAGCCGTAACAAGTGCAACTTAAAATTAGGTTCAGCAGAACTCTTCCCAATCATAAAAGCCAATGTTTTCAACTTCTTGTACTGTATTAAATTCATACGAATTATAATATACGACAAGTTTTCTTTTCTATCATTTAATTGAACGAATTTGTTTTGGCCGTCGTCGTCGTCGGCAAACATTTCTTGATTTGATGATTTATTGCAAATATATTTCATTTTTGCAAGATTTTATAAATTTCAAAAGCTTTTTGAGAAAAAAAAGGCGAAAGAAGTGCTATAGAAGGGAGCAAAGGCGCCGATGTTAACGAAGGTAGGTTTTAAATATTGATGTGTTGTTTGCAATATATTAGCTAATGCCTAATTGCTTTTCAGTGTATCTTTATTGATTGCCCTTTTTTATTATATTAAAATTTTTTAATAAAAAAGAAAGCAAAGTTATTTGCATGCGAAATCATTTTATTTCAAACTCAAAGTTTACCGATAAAAGCAGTTTAGCTGTTTAGTTTTATAAAGAACATTTTAAAACGTTTTGCGAAGCGTTTGTGGTTGAATTTCACATTAAATTGAAGCTTATATTACGTATAATAACATACCTAACATATATATGTTTGGAAAATTGATAATTTTGTAATTAAAAGAGATATGTTTAGGGGATATTCCAATTGTAAAAATATTCTTAATGAAATTATCGTGTTACCATGACAACTACTTTAAATACTTCATGTTTGGAAAATACAATGGTTTTGTCAGCAATGCGAGGGTTTCTGCATACATGTATTTTCTAGTTGCAGGTGACTATACTATACAGTAGGTGACATAATTAGGTCGTCAGTAACAAGATAAACGGCTCCAAAGCCTAGATCTCAATCACGAAATCGAGGCTCTATACATGGGCGTGCAGGAGGAACAAAATTAGGGGGGACAAACACCTAATAAATTACACGATTACAAATGAAGGGACTGGTCACAAACCTGATCTGCACCAGAGGATTGTTCATCGATACCATTATCAAGCTGCATCGGTTCAACTATCACATACAAAATTACCAAAATTAGCAAATGTTTCATTAACTGTCAATCAACTACCTTCAGACAATGTTTGATCTCAAGGTAAGGAGTTTTCATGTGGGCGTATACGCACGTAAAAGTTTAAATCAATTAAAAATTTGTATAATTATTTAAGAAAACGCACTAAATCAGTAGAAGCCAACATTCGTTACAAACTTCCAAATTTGAAACTAAACATATGGTACAGTTTATTGGACAGGCAAAAATAACTTAACGGCCCGTTTACACTTGCAAATTTTGCTGCGATTTCTAGTACGATTTCTTTCATATAGACGGTTTTATTTACTTTTGAAAACTGAAAAATCGTTATCAAAAAATGTCTTCAACATCTATACAGTATATAACCTTCGTGGAAACACACAGGCTCAGAAATGAAATTACAGACCGAAATAAATTGTAATTTTCAAGAAAGGCCAATATTACATGTTCATTGCTGTAGACCAACCTGGTTCTTTTCCTTCGACCTTCAATTCAGTTTCCATGTCCTCTGCTGCTTTCTTTACACGTGCTTCTAATACAGCCATAGGGATTTCCTCTTTCATTTTACCAAACTCATCTGAACACAATGAAATCACGAAAACAGCATGTATAAAACTGTCTCAACTTTTAAGATACAGTGAGTGGGATAACAAACTAAAGGATCTTACGTATATTATCACACTTGTATTCAGTATTTGATGGCTTACCAACACGCGGTAATCAACAATTATGACCACGACTTACCAAGAGCGGCTTTGGCTGCTGCACTTGCCACCTGGGATCTACAACTGACGCCAAGAAAGCCACAGTTGACATCACTGGGTTACCTTGTTGACTGAATGGCACTGGTTGATACGCCAACGGACCTACATAAAACGTACACAGTTGGTTATCTAAAAATCTTAATATACTGCATCTGTACCTAGTGATCAAGTGGAATCCTCCCGGATCTTCTACATATGATGAATGCAACTACAGTGTACACCACACTGTACCTATACTGCAAACTCGCAACAAGTTGTTCCAACAAGTCTGATATCGTCTGCAAGCAACAAGTTATTAGTCTTGTTGGAACAACTTGTATAACAAGATTATAACAACTTGTTCCAAACTTGTCACAACAACTGGGCACAAGCAGTGCGAATTACGCATCCTGATATAGACATGACAACAACCTTGTTACAACTTGTTTGCAGATCTACAACAACTCCCGCGTTTTTACGTGTATACATATACTGTACCTAGTGATCCTGTGGAATCCTCCAAGTACGGATCCTCTATTGGCAAACGTAAGAAATGAAGAATACATTCATCTTGTGTCCGCGAACTCACGTGTTCAGCAACTTTATTCCAGTCATCTTTGTACATCTCAAGACCCTGTAGAAATAACATGAAGTAGATGGGCTCTTCAACTGGGGCTTCAGTCATTATGTGCAATAAGGATGAAAATGAAATAAACTATAAAACTCAACTAACTTATGAAAAAGCATATTAAAGTTATCACAAATGCTTTAAAATTTATCAGTCGAAAACAGTTCCGAATGTTCTAAAATGATTGGCTGATTAAATTTGACAAAATCTGAAGTCGACTTGACATTGTCATGTGTAAACATAGCTAAATAATCATACAATCAAGGGGAGAACATTCTGACCTCTAATAAGCGCATTGTTTCTTGATCAGTCCACTCTTTAGTCGCAGTGGCTGCCTAGTACAAAAATATAAAATGTTATCTCATACCATATCATACCACTCTATAGCAAACACATTACCATAAGCTGCTCTATCTACCCTACCCTGTCCTACTCTATCCTACCCTAACCAAACCCTTTCCGAGACAAATGGTTCAATCTATCACACTTCATGTTTATCTATTTGACTTGTTCAACAATTCTCAGTTCTGTTTGTTTCGCATACCTTTTGACTTTTCTTGGACAGATACTGATCAGTTCTCAAACTAAAAATTAAGAAATAAAAAGCATTACAACACTTTCCGCTACTAAAGTTGAATGGTTCCATAACTTCCATGCATGCAGCATTCTTTATTAGACTAAATACGTGATTTCTAGTGCGATTTTCTTCTTCTGATGCATGTGAACGAGTAGATGAGTTATTCGGATGAATGTCGTGAATGCATGTCCCACTGTGTATCTGAACATTCATAACTCATCAACTCATTCACATCCATCAGAAGAAAAACGCACCTAAAATCGCAGCGAAAATTGTAAACCGGCCTTTACCCAAAATTAGTGAGATCTGTCTTGACAGGTTGCTTCGTAGTACTTTCTTCTTTGAATTGAAACATTCTGTCACTAGGAGCGTTCTAAAAACAAATTATCTCTTGAATAACAAACATGTCCGCTGGTTAAATATGTTCTGTACTTCCCTCAAAATGTTCAGATTGGAAGCCACTTATCAGCTCCAGGTCGTCGGTTGTTTGATGTAGGGTACAACAGAGACTTAACCTCCACTTCCCGAAGGGGCGAGCATTGTATTTTCAAAGAATTTCAAATTGAAAAAGAAGGGTAAACAGCGAGAATAAACAAGTGGAACAAACAAGTCAACGAACAATCGACCAAAGCAAACAAGTTACTTGGATACATCCAAAGACCATCTCTGTATATCCGCAACACCGCGGCCCGGCGCACGCTGTATCTGGCCCTTGTAAGACCACACCTAGGGTATGTAACACAAACATGGGCTCCACAGTCTGTCGAACTGTTGAAACAAGTCGAGCGCACACAGACAAGAGCAACTAAATTCATCCTCGAGTTACCATTCTCCAGGACGATGGACCACCAGGCTCTATCACTCCTACCAATCTGTTATTGGCACGAGTACCTGGACATGGTTCTCTTTTACAAGATAACCCATGGACTTGTACACATAAATGCATCTCTCCTTCCAACCATCCGCACCTCCAGACAAACTAGATCTTCCACCAGTACTTCCACCAAATATGTCATTCCACAATGCAAGATATCCACCTATCAAAGATCCTTCTTTATCCGATCAACTCAGATCTGGAACCTTCTCGCCGATCAACTAAAACTGGACACATGTGGCCTCTCTGCATTTAAAACTGTCATTTTTAATTATTATTCTATGTCATTTAGAACTTGTTACAATGTCCACGATCCTCGTTCTTACAAAACCATTTGTCCAAAATGTAACTATGTTCGTAGTCTTAGTATTCCAATCTCGTGCTGCATGTAGAAGACGTATTGTTGTTACTTTCATATGTTGTTTGTTATTAGTTGATTATTGTATTTGTTAAATTTGTAATATTAGTTTTAGTGTTAGTTTTATGGGGCCGTAGTAATTGGCTAAGCGCTGTTACGGACTCCCTGCCATTAATTGTATTATAGTTATTTACAATTAGGCAAAGCTAATAAATTAAATTAATACTTACTTGAGATCTAGGAGGCTGTAAAGGTTGGACACCAGCAGGTGTATCAGCCAAGATATGAAAATGAGATGTTGAAGGTGGTCCCATGGGAGTGGGACGACTATCAGCATCTACCTGGTAGTTGACCATTCCCCACTGCTCAAGAAATGCGTGTATTCTAGTAGAAATAAAATTCAGTGAAACTTTAGTCAATGGTTGGTTATAGCTAGGGTTTTAAAACGACTGTTTATGCTATATCTCTTTGTATATACTGGGGAGGTGGATAGTTGTTGATAATTGTTAAATAGTTTAAGGTAATATGCCCGAGGAAAACTACGGCAGCAAACATCGTTCCGATAACCAGAAAATCACAGTTGGGAAAGAAAATATGTTAAATAAAAAGATTTGTTCGCAAACATGCAATATTTGTTTCCGCCATAACATTTCCTATGGTGAGCAAACAGTAAAGCTACGTTTAGACGCTGCGATTAATCGTGTACGATTCGTTTTCTGGCGTATGTCATTGAGTAAACACGCGTAAGCTGGCTACATTTGAAATTTATTTTTAACGAAACGGCAATGGTGTGGCGCCCTTTTAAATTAGATCTGTATCTATATATACATATATGTGTGTCTATATGTGTGTGTGTATGTTTGTGTAACACTGTACTTGTACGTTTACGTTTTGGGATCACAGTAATTGGCCTGAAGCTGTTGTGAATTCCTGTCACATTTGTAATGTTATATATGTAATGATTGTTATTTGTTATGTATTCTTGTTGTGACAAAGCTTGTAAAATTAAAATTAACTCTCTGGAAACCAACATTAGTTTACAAGGTTATACCATAACGTACACCAAAATTTATCTTAATGAATGAAGAAAAGCGATTACCGTAATATGGAACAAACATCACCAGCCAAGTTTCTTCGACATGCTGTTGCGGTTAGATATTCTGTGGGGTTCAATCGATATGTATCTATCATGAAGTTTCTGTACGCAACATATCTAGAGAGCGAACAATACATTATCACGTACCTCTACAGTCTCAGAACATAACTATGAGCAAGAAATCAAGGTAAGTTGTTGCAGTAAGATATTTCTTTGGGGTTCAGGCGATAGGTACTGTATCAATCATAAAGTTTCTGTACGCTACAGCAGGATGGGAATACTCTTTTACGAACAGTACGTCTACAGTTACCCCGGATCAGGTAGTTTCCTGTTGGGCTGAAGCTCCAGCCTGCAGCTGAAGCTCCAGCCTGCACTCAGGCGCAGAGTGGCCTGGCTTGGAAACCGCCTCGTTGCGCCACCCGCCGTGAGTTAAAACTCGCCTGAAATCAGGAAACCTCTGCACCCAGGGTAGTCTACAGTCTATAAACATCACAACAAAGCCGGACATTTTCCAGACTGGTCATAAACATCCAGTTTTAAACAAATTTTCTATAACTTACATTTCAGCAGTTTTCGATTTGTTTTTACTATTAAAAAACTCCGGAAGAGCTCTTCTCTCAATCGCGTGGATACTAGAGAATCAACATATATGAAACAATTAGAATGCAATATAACCGTATGACAGTAACTCTTAAAACGAAAGACAGTTATCTGAGTGACTAAATTCCCCTATTCCCCAACACGAAGTTGTTATCTGTCCGGTCATGGAAACCAACGAACTTTTGCTATTTATCCGTGAAATTAACTTGATTACACAGCTAAAAACGATCAGGTTGTTGCAATATTGATATAAACAGGATTGAACAATGTTTTTGCCCACATTCTTCACAGTTGCCAACAATATTGAACAATATTGTTACATCCAATTCAGGCTCAAAAATACTCTTCAATATTGTTGACAAGTGTGAACAACGTGTGCAGCACATTGTTCAATCCTGTTAAACAGCAGGCTCATAAATTTTACGCGTGTAGTTCATTTGCGTGGCCAGCGGTTGTTTCACACGGTAAAGTGAAGCGGTTGTTTGACAAAAATCCTCAGCGGTTGTTTCAAGAATTCCTTTGAAGTTTCGATCGCACCCATAGCCGTTAAGATACCACCTATTGAGTATTGTAATCAAACCAAGAGGAATAGGTCGGAACAATAACATCATGACGTTGTTCAGTTCAATTCTCGTCATGGTTGTCATATAGCATTATGACAGTAAAAACACAGACCCTTTAATTTACCTATTGTAATCAAACCAAGACGAATAACTGGGTACAATCACGTGATGACTTTGTTCAGTTAAATTCTCGTCATACGTGGTCGGATCTTCAAATACTTCTTTGGGTTTATCGTCATCTTTAGCGTCTTGGGATGATCCTGGGGAGCCCGGGACTGAACTAACATCTTCAGAAGCCTGTAGTGAAATAATAAATCAGTTCTACACTGTTCATGTACAATATTATTCAGATAATGCTGATTCCACAAAAACAAATTAAACAATTAAATAAATCCTACAGCATCCACGCAACCTCATTCAGAAAATGTTTCTTGTGTATAAAGTGGCTATAGTTGAAATAGAGCTTGGGGAAATAGTCTAGTACTGCATTTTGAATCCCGTCCATGGCTACTGTTTAAGATTTTTCACCCTATACATTACTATACATTTGACTACATAAAATACAATATTGTGTCAATGTTTCTATGCCTAACGTTGCCCACTTCATACTTTCAATTGACTTTGTTGGCGATGAGAGCCAAAAAATGCATCAATCTTAACAAAACCAATTAAGTATGGAAAACGGAAAAAGAGATTCCGAATGAAATTCCAGTCACTTTGGCAGAGTAGTGCATTCCATTCAAATACTTCAAACAGGAACCAATTAATATAAAGTAGAATTTAAAGTTAAAGTTTTAAAATCAATTTACATTCGTTTCGTTGTCGTCTTCTTCTTGAGTTTTGGGAGGAGCTGATGAAGAGATAATAATAGAAATCAACTCTTGAAACAGTTGTTTGTTCGAGCTCTTGAAAGAAAATATGGGCGTGGTCATTTAAAGTGGAATAGCATCTGCCATGTTCTTGGCGACACTTTTTCAATTGAAGGCGGAAGCATGCTATCTCGATAAATTATGGTTACTAACTTGCCACAGCAAGCTATCCATTTCTCCGGCCACAATTTTAGCTTCTTTACGTGCAAAGCATCTGATACTTAGTAATTAGCCAAGTGAACCCGGGGAAATCATAGAAAAAAGCTAACTCAGACTAATTCCCGTACATATTTTGTGTCTTAAGAAATGAAAAATTTAGAATGTTTATACCTGATATGTCCATCATGGCTCCACCCTTAATTGGTCCCGAGTCCGGATCTTTGCTCTTCGCCGCTAAATTGAGAATAAATGGTTCATCGCATGCACGGCAGATAATCAAATCAGAAACGTGGCATTTTTTATAGTTTGTAACTGAGTTTTGTCCACACTGTATTTGCAGTAAACGATGCAATGCTTATACTTTACACTAATACGAAAGTTTAGCCAAATAAAAGTGGGTCGCTCATAGGATTCTGGTGCAAAAACATCGCAGCCGAATGGGTTGTGAAAATGCAATTTATAGTTTTGTACTCGAAATTTCAATCCGCGATTACCTTCAGTTGTATTATGCTGTAATACAGTCTGTGAAAATTCGTGGCAATGCTTGTCGAACCTCAGCAGCGCTACCCATATCTGGGTAGTGGATTCTAATTGGTCACGACTGATTACTGAACGTAATGGATTTTGATTGGCTGGTCTCAAAAATCAACCAACGTTGGACTTTTATACTTAAGGTGGCTCCCTGTAGTGTTAGTGTTGCCATGGCAACCATGTCATTTTATCTTTTGCACTTTTTATTATCTAATTTCAGAATGGTTCGACCAATATTTTTTTTTCGTTCGGTGAATTTTTCTGAGATTTTCTTTGAAGATTTATGTTAACGTTGCTGATGCGATAAAATTTCAATTGGATTAGATCACTGTCTGCGCATGCGTTTAAATTGTACTGCGTGACAACACGAAACGCGTGTGATTTTTTTTAGTAATTTTCATTTCAACTTTTTAGCTTACATACGAAAACAGATATTTCTGACTTGTTTGACACGAAAATAAAAGATTAATGTTGAAGATACTAATACTAAAAACACTATTACGCATTGTATTAACCGTTTCTTTAAATTTGTTTTCGTTGTTAAAATCGGTGTGAAAAGTTTCAAAACATTCAACTACAAGTTTGACTTTTCGTATAAAACAATATGAAAACAACTCGTAACTGTTTTATTAGATTTAGCAGATAAAACAATACATGTGAATTAAGATGAATGATAGGACTTACGTAAGTATCGGAGACAGTTCAACTGTTCGAGAGTTCACTGAAGACAGTATGATTTCATTCCGTGATACAAGTTGAAAATTTTGAGCATTATAAAAGACAATGCTGGACGTAAATATGAAAAAAAAACCACACTAAAAGGTAGGTTAAAACTAGTTGATAACATACGTATTGTTCGAATTCTGAAATATTTAGGATTATAATGAAAAAACTGGCGTTTTCTTTGCAGATAAAAACGGAAAATATTTTTTTACAGACATGAAAATTCTACGCGCGGGTCGCGAGGATGACGTCTGATCTATATAAATAAACTGTACCAACTGTAGGGAGCCACCTTAATCGATGTTCATTGTAAATTTTACTTCTCTCTATGCTTCAAACTACTAAATTTTCGATGCAAAAAGGTTTCTCATGCATTGCAGATAAATATGACGTCCAATTGAACAAATGAAATGCACCAAGGAGTTGAAAATAACGGCAATTCCTGAGCTGAGGTGATGTGATTTGTTTACGTTATTCAAAGTCAGAACTTTGTTGACCTTTGAACTCAACCAATCACATCCTACTGAGTGTAACCATGACCAATCAGAATCAACTACCTAGATCTGGGTAAATCGACAGGCAATGCCACGAATTTTCACAGACTGCATTACAGCATATTGAGCATAATACACACTGTACACGGGCTAACCTTTCAACAAATACAATATATATTAACCGCACCTTCTGTAGTTGGTAAATTGATCTCTTCCACCTACAACGTAATGATAAATCATTTTTAAGAACGCATTTGGATTATTCCACTACAGTGCGGAAAATGTAACAGAGGAGTAACATCCATAATTTCAAACAATGGAGTTGAAAAAGTGCTCGAATGATAGGGAACAAATGAAGACTCTTGGCGTAACCACGTCGCAACCTTTCAGCTGGAATTGTTCTTCGTTGCCAGAAACGGGAAACCCGGTCATAAAGTACACACAGAAAATACGTAGCAATACTTCCTAACGGCTTGCATTTTCAATATACAGTACAACACAATACAAGGTATAAAAAGGTTAGGGATAAATAGCATGATAAAAACGCTCTACTCACGACAGGTATTGGTGCAGGATCAGGCAAATCTTGAGTCATGTCTTCTTCTTTTTCACTACAAGTCATTATAGAGTATATCAGTATTTCACGATCTAACTGAATGGAGTTATGGAGGAAGTTTTCACTCGCCAAGATAAGGGAGTGAAATACAACGATTTGACGTTATAACGTTGTGTAATGTTACTCACCCTTCATCCTCTTTTTCTGGTTTGCTTTTCACATTTCCTGGAGCGTTGCTAAACACAAACATTTAATTTATTACAACTTTATACAATACAATACAGTACATATATACTTAACCTTACTTTCCGAACAAACACTTAGGCTTACAAGTCTGCTGTAGCTTAGCAGAAAACTACAGATACCACACATACTGTAAAGTGTATTAAATGCAATTGTTAATTTTGGAAACAAACTATATGTACCTTTTCTTTGGATTAAGTTTCTTTTTCTTTGCAGATTCGGGAGATGGCGATCTCTTTCGTTTCTTTTTATCTGAAATAAAATAACAATATCATAGTTATGAGATATCTTATCTAAACAAATAGTACATGGGCAGAGCAAGGCTTTGTGAAGATGAGTATAATTGCAAAATGAACAAAACATTTATACTGTATCACCTTCTGGTATGGTAGGACTGGAGGGTCCCTGCAAGAAAAACATAACATCAACAAATGGGACAAGACATAAAAACTACTACAGCGGCACACAATTACAGTAGCAAAATTTTGCTAGATTTTTTTTGTAGAGAACATATAGTATTTAAACCTGAGTGAGAAAAGAGTAAGTGGTCAACCACAACTACACTACAAGCCCAACCACTTACTTCTTCATCCTGCTTTCCTCCACTTCTTAAACTTTTCCGTCTCTTTCGCACTAAACAGAAAGTCGGAAAGAACAATTAACCTGCTTATAGTTTTCAGGTAGTTGTATAACCTTCCCACGACAGCTGCCTGTAATCGTTACCACCTACACTGGTACCAACAGTTCAAGAATGAATCTGTTGGTTAATAAACTGGATGGTTAATTTTAAGAAAGACAGTATACAAGAAATTCCCAGAAATATATGTCGAAGGGGATTCTTGCAATTTAAATTGCAACTTTGAAGTTTGAAATACCTTCAGAAGGTTCCTTGACTTTTCCATCACCCTGTAATCAAGATACAAGAACGGCAAAGTAAGGAAATAAAAGAAATAAAATAATTTAAGTCAAGACATATTGTACCGTTAAAGACGATGAATCCGGAATTTCATAATCCTCTTCGTTCATCCATTCATTAAATACATCGAGATCAGTCAACCATCGACCATTTACCTGCCAAGCATAATAAAAAGTACAATAAACATAATATGACCATTTTATTAATTTGGTTTTTGCATGCCAGGATTTAAGAAATGAGCAGGTGCAAAAATTAACAGAAACGAAAAATTCATGAAAATAGATTGGCGCTGTTTACTTTGGGGTATACGTCGGATTGATATTTGCTGCAGTATGATTTATTCAATATTTAAGACGCATTAAACACTTTGACAAGCGTGGCGTATAATGGATTTGAATCCACACATCTCTAGAGGAATGCACCATTCTAGGTGTTATATAACTTATATTTACTGAACAGCAAGAGGTGGACAACGTATTAGCAACCCTATTCGCTGCTCGTGAACCACAATCTGGTCTTACATAGACTTCAGAATTTCATTTAACCCAATGGCCAATTCAATTTGTATATATACTGCATCTCATTGTACTTCAACTCAACTTTTTCTTTACTGACTGACGGCTTTAAAAGTTGTCAAACTTGTTTTACAAGGAGAATATTTATTTCCTCACCTCCCACTGTCCATGACGTTGTGGTTGTGGTTCAGGTTCATCACTAACTTCTTCATTTGAAACCCAGGTATCATAACTGTGCAGCAAATCATGAA